GTGAACTAGTACACCAGGTAAGTTCCCAGGAAAGAGAGGTGGGTCACTAATGGACACGCTTAAATACTAAGTTTTTCCTTGTCAGAACTTTCCTAGACATGCACTTTCACACTACCAAATAAACGACAGCGATAGCGGTGGTTGCGGCGGCGGCGGCGGCGGCGATGGTGGCGGCTTCAATAGTAATCTAAGGCAAAAAAATTTCAAAATAACCTTAAGCTCTAGATACCATGTTGAATATAGAAGAAATAGAGTTTGGGATTAATCTCCCTTGTGTATAAATCACACATAGGGTAGTCTATTTATAGTAGAGAGATACAACTAAAAGAGTAACTGAAAGTAACAGAATAAACAGAAGATATTGTTAGATATTATGGTTAATATCTAACAATATCTTAACAATATTAAATAATATCTAAACAATATCTAACAAATATCATGAAAAACCAACTTTTGTTCTTATCTATTTTCCTTTCATTTGTGATTCTTCCAACTTCTTGTCAAAAACATGCATGTGACACAGGCTCTGCTAAGACTAGCAACTTTTCATTTTGTGACACTTCACTATCTTATGAGGACAGGGCCAAAGACTTGGTGTCACGCCTGACACTTGAAGAAAAGGCACAACAACTAGTTGACCCTTCTGCGGGTATTTCCCGGCTTGGCGTGCCTGCTTATGAATGGTGGTCAGAGGCACTTCATGGTGTCTCCAACTTAGGGCCAGGTACACGTTTTGACAAGAAAGTACCAGGTGCCACTAGTTTCCCAGCAGTGATACTATCAGCTGCAAGCTTTAATGAAAGTCTGTGGTACAAGATGGGGCAGGTTGTTTCAACCGAGGCTAGAGCCATGTACAATGTGGACTTGGCTGGTTTGACATTTTGGAGTCCTAATGTGAATGTGTTCCGCGACCCCAGGTGGGGGCGTGGCCAAGAAACTCCAGGGGAAGACCCCTTGGTGGTGTCTAGATATGCTGTCAAGTACGTTCGTGGCCTACAAGAAGTGGAGGATGAAGCAAGTGCTAAAGCTGATAGGCTTAAGGTTTCAAGCTGTTGTAAGCATTATACTGCCTATGACATTGACAATTGGAAAGGCATTGATCGCTTTCATTTTGATGCAAAGGTAAAGAAGAAAACGTACATCAAGTAATTTATAATAGGGCCAAAAATGAGAAAAATTAGTACATAATGTTTTCTCATAAATTAAATTTGACGACATGTTATACGCAGAAATTGGTAAGGATTATGGACATGGTGGTATGATACTTTCAAACATTTTCTCCAAAAATGCATGTCATGATGAAGTTGTTTGAGAAGAGTGCATAAGTGGTGTACGAGTTAATGAAGGTGTCTGATTCTTTATGCATAATAACTTTGAGAATAATTGTTGTTGTAATTGCTCCTGCTGCAGGTGACAAAGCAAGACTTGGAGGACACGTATCAGCCTCCATTCAAGAAATGTGTGGAGGAGGGGCATGTTAGCAGTGTCATGTGTTCTTATAATAGGGTGAATGGTATTCCTACATGTGCTGATCCAGACCTTCTCAAAGGGATAATAAGAGGACAGTGGGGTCTAGATGGGTTTGTCTTCAATACAGAACAACACATTTGATTTATATTTTATAGATAACATCTCTCAGGCTAACTTATAAATACTAGAACAATTTCTACTTTTTGCTGGCCACGAAGAACTATATACGAATAAGACACAGTTTAAGGCCGTCAATTCGTTGAATTTTTTATACGAGTGACCAAACCAAGTTAAGCTCCCTGATATCTTCTACTTTCCTTACAGATATATTGTTTCAGATTGTGATTCAGTGGAAGTCTATTATGATGCAATTCATTACACTGCAACTCCTGAAGATGCAGTGGCTCTTGCACTTAAAGCAGGTAAAACTATGGTTACAGACGCAGGATTTTTCTATAAGGAGGAAAAATTAAGAGTGGTTTTGTATAATTGAATGGTATCTTATCATGCAGGTTTAAACATGAACTGTGGCGATTTTCTAAAAAAATACACTGCAAATGCAGTAAACCTTAAAAAAGTTGATGTAGCAACTGTAGACCAGGCTTTGGTGTACAACTACATAGTCCTAATGAGATTGGGTTTCTTTGATGACCCCAAGTCACTTCCATTTGCAAACCTTGGGCCATCTGATGTGTGTACTAAAGACAATCAGGAACTGGCTCTAGATGCTGCAAAGCAAGGAATAGTTTTGCTAGAAAACAATGGAGCTCTTCCTTTATCCCAAACTAGCATTAAAAAATTGGCTGTGATTGGACCAAATGCTAATGCCACAGATGTTATGATCAGCAACTATGCCGGCATACCTTGCCGCTACACTAGCCCTTTACAAGGATTACGAAAGTACATTTCTTCTGTAAATTATGCACCTGGTTGTAGCAATGTTAAATGTGGTAATCAGAGCCACATTGCAACAGCAGTTAAGGCAGCAACTTCAGCTGATGCAGTGGTGTTAGTTGTGGGATTAGACCAATCTATTGAAGCAGAGGGCCTGGATCGAGAGAACTTGACATTACCTGGATTTCAAGGGAAGCTGGTGAAAGATGTGGCTGGGGCTACCAAAGGAAAACTGATTTTAGTCATAATGGCAGCTGGTCCAATTGACATTTCCTTTACTAAAAGTGTCAGCAACATAGGAGGTATATTGTGGGTAGGGTATCCTGGTGAAGCTGGAGGGGATGCCATTGCTCAAGTAATTTTTGGAGACTACAACCCAGGTAACTTAACTTATTATAAACTTGACTTTTAAAATGTCTATCTTAAAAATCATACTAAGGATGTCTATCTTAAATTCTTATTTTCAATGTTTTAAATTTTTAATTCTTTGTAAATGGATACTTGACAATCTTCAGATAATAACAATGAAGTATTAAACTTTAGGTGGTAGGTCTCCTTTTACATGGTATCCAGAATCTTATGTTGATCAAGTGCCAATGACAGACATGAATATGAGAGCCAACAGCAGTAGAAATTTCCCTGGAAGAACCTACAGGTTTTACAATGGTAGTTACCTCTATGAATTTGGTCATGGATTAAGCTACTCGACATTCTCCATGTATGTTGCATCTGCTCCCTCCATCATAATGGTTCAAAACACATCCATTTCTGAAGCACATAACATCTTCTCTTCCAACTCAACCACCCAAGTTGAGTCTCTCTCTGAGGGCCAAGCAGTAGACATCTCCTCCATAAATTGCCAGGACTTGACATTTTTGCTTGTCATTGGTGTGAAGAACAATGGACCCCTAAATGGATCGCATGTGGTGCTAGTGTTCTGGGAACCAGCTACTTCAGAGCTGGTGACTGGTGCTCCAATTAAACAGCTTGTAGGATTTGAAAGAGTATATGTTATGGTGGGGATGACCGAGTTTGTGACAGTGAAAATTGATATATGCCAACTGCTAAGTAACGTGGATACTGATGGCAAAAGAAAGTTGGTGATTGGACAACACACTATTTTGGTTGGCTCCTCCAGTGAAACCCAGGCTAGACACCACATTGATGTTAAACTTTCAGGGAGTATGAGTGCAAAGGAATGATATATTAAATATGTAAGTTTTGATATATATGATGTTGAATCGGATGCTATGTTTGGTAAGTGTTCAATAAGCTGAAAACAGCTGAAAAAACGCAGTGTGGTTAAGTTTCAATAAAAATGAAAAAGAAGAAGCTAAAAACAATTAAAAAACGCTAGAAGAAGGGCTTGAACCTTCGACCTTGTGGTTAACAGCCACACGCTCTAACCAACTGAGCTATTCCAGCTTTTTAATAAAATATTAAAATAAAATTTTATAAACCATATAATATGATATATTATTTAAAATGTGAATATTCCCGTGTACCTCGTGTATTTTTTTTAGTAACCATGTGTATGGCATGAAATTTATTACTACGGTAATAAAAAAAGTTATAAAATGGAAAAATTAAGAATTTGATTGTGAAGTATGGAATGTGAAAGTAAAAAAGTTAAATGGAATCTTTAACTTTAAAAGTTAAGAAAAATATAAAAAGAAAAGATAATATTTAATTGGAGAATGGAATCTTAAAATCAAAATTGATATTTTGAATTTGATACATCGTGTTCGTATGGTGTTCTGATGCGTGGTTCTTTCTTCTTTTTCCAATTTCATGATTTTCAAAACTCAATTGCTTACTACGCGTAGTGTCGAAGCCGCCCCAGGAAACTTTGAAGATGAGAAGAAGAGAAGAGAGAGCTTTCAAAAATATGCACCGTATCAAGCAAAAGTCATAGTCAGAGTTGTCATCCACTCAACAATTAAAACCTAAAAACCCCAATTACCGTGTCGAGGTATTCAAACATCCCTCAAAAGTCAAAACAACTTTTCTTTTGTTGGAAGGGATATTCATGCATCAATTTCACCTAACTTTAAGGATAAGAATAATAATACTATTTTTATTATTATTACTACTAGTACTACTAATAATAAAATAGATAATATACATCAGTCTTACAACTCAATGTACATAAAATAACATGATTTTTTTTTCTATAATTTTGAGGTTTTCATTTTCATAAATGAAAATAAGTAAATACCACATCTAGAGTATTTTTAAAAATAAGAATTTAAAAGTTGTAATTTTTAAAAAAAGTTTAGAATGAATAGTTTCAGAATCAGGAAAACGAAAACATGATTAATCCTGATAAGAATGGCTAGAACTTAATTTATGTCTGGTGAAAATGATATGATGGAAGAAGTATTTTAAATTATCTTTTCTTGCATGAATAGAAGGATATTTTTTGGGTTTATAGTGGAGGATATATGAATGGAATAATCTGCGTTGACAATTTGAGCCGTCAAAGGTCTCTGGCACACTCCATCAATATAAATATGTTCTCCACATCGTAACCTTCAACACAGAAAACCGAAGTTCAATTCAAGGCTTTCAATAACATTTATAGGCAAAGGTTGTGATTGTGAGAGAAAGAAGAGAGAAGAGAAAGTGAAGCACATATGGAAGGTTTGATTCCATATCTTATTCATGCAATGAAGAAGCAGAAGCCTCATCATCATTACAGGAGCTTCTCCCATTCTGAAAGCTCAAACCGCAGCTACCATTTGTTGTTGGCATCTGATTCATTGACAGGATCTTCTCACAGGAGAACCAGGTCTGATTTTCAGCCTCCCTCAAGTGAGTTCTTAGAGCAGAGACATGGTGCTGATGGATTCTTGGTCAGCCCCAAAGGCCCTGTTATTACTTCTACGGCTGCTCCTCCCACTGTCAATGTTAATGCTTCCTATGCTGCCCAACCCTCTCACCATATTACCAACGTTCGCAATCGCAAGTGATATCTTCAACATTCATTTCCTTTTTGGACTTTTAGATATTATATATCTCTTCTAAGGGCTGATTCATTTGTTTAAGATTATGGGTGACTATCAATTGTAATTTTATTGTGTATACTTCTGATCTTGTAAGCTAATATTCTAGGGGAACGACACTGTAATGAACAGTTGTGTGCTTCAATGAATATTAAGAAATTTTAAGAGAAGCAAATCTCTTTTCCTCATGCCGACCAAAATTAAGCAATCGATACAAAGTATTTACCCAAAAGAACGATTGCATTTGCTTCGTTATTTTGGTTTTGTAAATTTTTGTTATAATTTTTATTTTGTTTAAAAGCCGCTTGCACTTTTTCAAATTTGCTTTGCAGGCGCATGAAGTATGTGTTAGGTAGCCAAGGGCAGTGGTTAGCTTAAGGGGTTAGTTTAGTGGTTCAACAGCAAATCGGGCAATCACACCAAATCTCATACATACTTTCATATGTTAAAAAAATATGATATAAGATATAAAAGCAAAGAGAGAGGAGGGAAAGTTTCAATCTCAATGTGAGAACTAAGAAAAACAAATCTTTCGGAGCAGGGTAAATTGATAGAATAAAACAAATCGACTTCTGCTGATTGAGCAAGAAAAGTGTTATACTGATAGCGGAATTTTTTTTTTTAAAGGGTATTTATCTAAGTGAATGATGAAACACTTCTACTGACATATAGTTGATTCAAGTGATACAAAGTCCCGTGACCTTTGCTGAAAAACGATTAACTCCTCTATAATACTAGATGTATAAACTCGTAGGCTACCACTTAAGTTCAGTGGCATATGATGAATATTATTATCAACCTGGTATAAACTTGCACCTTTTTAGATTAATATTAGAATATCTCACTTAATAGTGAATCAATACATGAATTTAGAAGATGTAAAGAATAGAAACGTTATACATTTAAATAATTGAGAGGTACAATTGTCTACTCTCGTCACTAGTTATAATACAGGTCCGCCAATGCTTCAGATGGTTACAAATGAAACGCTTGGCATGTGCTTATGTATAATTCTGGCCATAAATGGCGTTACGTTGTTCGTGAAAATCGTTCTTTTGTTTTTAGTTGGAAAACTCCGGTTACCTTGTTAATAGTGATAGAAAAACACTTCACAGTTAAAAAACATGTAATCCTCAAACAGTAGCAGATATGGAGTAGATAGACGAGGTATCATAAACAAAAGGAAACAAACTCACTCTAGCAATTGTTCTCTTACCAAAAAAGTAAATTGAAGTTAAAGAAATGACAGGTAATCCGAGCTTGTAAATTAATTGCATAACGCTCTGATGCGCAATGAAGCCAAGAGTTATTCCACTTTTAAAACGCACTCCGCCTCTGTCCTTGGGATTCAAATCTTCCCTGGAAATTGTCCGACAAGCCACGAGTTGATCATTATAATGAAAAAAGATAGACGCAAATACTGCTTCTGTTTGATATTACGAAGCCAAGAGTGCTTCTAACTTAGCAATCTGATCATCTTCATTCTTTGGAACAGGATCCTTGTTAACCTCTTGATACAAATCATGTTTCCACTTCTCTACTCGTGACTTAACAGGACGATAAACTAGTCTTCCGTTAAATTTATCTCTTCCCCGATAATTACTGTCGCCTCCACTTCCCCCATACCTTGCTTTTGATGCAAAGCTATCCCTCCTTGCTTCACTCTTATTGAGTGCTCTGTCCTCTGTAATTTGCTTCTCAGGTCTATCCAGATGATGAGGATTGCTGCTTCTTTCCTCCTTCCTTTCATTCCTTTCCAGAAAATGGTCAGTATGGCTTGACTTTACTACTACCGTTGAAGCTGGATCAGCATCAGCTGAGTCTGCAGGAATCTTCTTCTCCCTAAATGCTCGTCGTTTCCTCATTGTAGGGGGTGGATCATCTTTTCTTTCGACAAAACCATCTCTTTTTTGTAAATTATCATCCAGTTTCACCTGTGATTTATCATTTGTTTCCTCTCTACTCTGACCTGTCTCCACCCTTTCATTATTGTCTTTACTCTGAGTTAAGACCTTTCCTGTATGCAATGGAAGAATTTTTGTGTTTCAGTGTATTTATTGAGTCAATCTAAAATCATTGACGCACAATAAAGCCAAAGTAAGCTTACCACCAGCTTCCCTTTGTCCATTGCTTCGACCAACCTGCCCAGTACTTCCCCGTTCTTCATGCTGTTATAGAACAAGCATAGGCAAGCCTAAGATGGTTATATATCGTGGCACTTGAAGGCATGGGACTGAACAAGAATCCGCTACATCAGCCCAGAAAAATAGTTTGCATATACTGAATAACAATCAAGTATATAAAACGAAATTTAAATCTATTAATCAAAATGAATCTACACGTCATCTTGAAAATGATAATTGAGACATTTCCTTTTCGATACAGCAAATAAAATGATAAGAGTACATAAATATAGCAACTTCTTACAAATAAAAGTGTGCTAAGAATAAGAACTATTTTCAAGAAGTGTGGCTAAACAAAGGATTTCATATTATACAGCTTGCACAATCAACTATGCAAGTACAAAGTACTCATTGTCATACAATGTTTAACCTTCAAAGAAACAACAGTTGTTTTCTTCTGATAACATTTATAGTTCATATTTTACCTAGTAAAACAATACTATGTAGCAATCCACCAGTCTAGAATAACTTGCAAGTCAGAACAAGTTGTAGTAGTAAAACATAGAGAAAAAGGTTATGGCCGAGAATTTGCATTACAATTGCAAGGCCAAGCAAATGAAATTGCTCACACGTTGTGCCTGACAGCTCATGGCATGAAACAGAGTAAAAATTAGTTTATCATGTTTTTCTCCTTCCCCGTTCCCTTCCCAAAACAATATAAACCATTGATTACTAGCACAAGACAACTGATTCTATACAATTACAGTCCATGGCCATATACAATGTCTACGAACTCAAGTTCATAACTTAATCACGGGGAATGACTTAGCTAGAGGGTAGTATATAATGCACATGCAACCCTCCTCTCAGAATGTAGAAATCATGAATCTTAAAAGGTTAAACTAGGCACATTGTCCTCATTTTACGTTTTAGTTCCTATAGGATAATACTGTAAATTATAGTCCTTAAATATGCATTTGTTTCATGCCATCTTTCATTCCTGGGAATGTTAGGGTGGAAATAGATATTCCCACATATGTTTATTCCCATTAAAGTTACGCTCTCACGTTTTAAGCTGTTTCTATACCCGTGAGAAACAGGTGGGTATCTCATATTCCCATGGGAATGAAAGTTATAGTTCACAACAACTATATATTTCCACTACATTTTTCTACCTTCTTTTTTTACTTTTATTTTTCAATTTTTTAAATGAATATATATATATATATATATATATATATATATATAATTTTATTTTTTTCTATAATGACTAAATACTAACCAAACATGTTCATGAGAATAACATTCCTGGGTATATAATATTCTAGGGGATTTGATTCCTGGGAATGCAGAATTATACCATGAAACAAACACCATCTGAGATAAGTTTAGTACCATGAGAGAAAATTTCCTGGCAATGGTAAATCAATACAAAAAAATTGTGTAGAGATTAAAATTTACAATCTTCCGATAGTGACAATAACTTAAAATGAGAACAATTATACAGTTCAACATGGAAGTTTGAGCACAATTAGGTGCAGGACTCGGTTCATTGATAAACAGGGCCGCTCAAGCATTCATACAAAACTAAAATTGGTATGACCTGGTAATGAGAGCGAGATCTTGATAGTTGAGACGAATGTTTGGATGGCTTCTCATGATGATCATTTGAATTTGATTTTTTGGGAGGAGCAGCAGCATCAAAATGTTCTCGCTTAGAATGATGTGGTAGCGGTGGGTTTCTCTGATCTCCTCCATCATAGGTTACTCTATTCCTGTCCCTTTCTCTTTCTTGTTTACCATCCCTTCTATATCTCTTGGGACTACAATCGACAATCCAAAAACAATAACATTCAAGAATGAAAAAACTCAATGTATTTATAATTAAACCCATCCCAGTTTAATGTGAAAAAATACGATTGCAATGTTGGAAATGCACTGTGTTACGTGTTAGGCTCAATTGAACAGCATGCAATTGTTATTAGGTTGAAAATGGGAATGAGAATTAACATTGGAGGGGTAAGTAAGAGGAAAGCACCTTGATTCTCGATCGAACTTGGAGTGGCGACGCTTGGAATCAGAGTCTCGACGAGACATTAGGTTTTTCCGGTCGAAAATTGAAATGGATTATTAGGATTAGGGCTCAGCCTTGTTCCAGTTTCAGTTATAGTAACATTAATAGTGTATCTATTTGTACGTGTCACTGTCACAGTATCTGGTGAACCGTGATTCAATTTAGATCTCACAAAAAACATCACACAGCTACCTCTGCAAGATCAAAATATTTTTCCCATATCAAGACATTATTGAATATTGAATAAACAACCAAAGTTATAATTTGTTTATACTCAAAGTTATAATTTTTTAAAAGAATACTTTTTATCGATTATTGTATACATGATTACCACTCTTCTTAAATTCACTTCATGTGAACGATTTCACCACCCATCAAACTCACTCTTCCACAGAATTTCATCCCAATCAAACTTCTTCAAATCATATGCACACTTTGTTTCTTGTTAACTTTTCACCTCTCTCGATCTTTAGAAACATTAATTATCGATTTTTTCAAGAATTTAGTTAAAATTACCATCATTTACAAATATAAATTTTATATAAAAAAAATGCATACTATAGTGATACTAATTACAAAGCCAGAAAATAAAACAAATAATTCTAATTCTAATTTTTTGTTTTCATGTTCATTCTTTAGTTCTATATATAACTGACCCATTCACGTGCTTTATGTTAAAAAAAAGGTAGAATAAAAAGGTAAGTGAAATTTTTACTCAAACAATTATTAATATCATTTAATTGAAGAATTGTAGAAAAATATTTAATGAAATATAAAATTTATTCCTTTAAAAATTATTGTTATAAGATGATTAAGCAACTAAATAAACTTATTTAGTATCAAAACAATCCTTAATGACATTTTTTTAAACTTATTATCCAAGAAAGATATATATGAATTAATGATAAATAAAAACTTATGAGAAGATAAACTATTGTAAAAAAATTGGTAAAGAAAAAGTATATAAATAAAAATTATAAAAAAATAAAACAATAACTGAAACTTGTTTTAACCATTCCCTTTAAGTATTTTCGTTATTTTGAAAGTGAAAAAGTAAAAAGTAAATATAAGGAAACAAAATTTTAATAATAATACTATAAAAATTACAAGAAGATAATAGGATAATATTTGTTATATTCATTGATATTACTTAATTGGGTTAGTGGTTCTCCATCTTCTAGGTTTAGTACTTGTAGTGATTTCATTACTCAACACCTACGTAGCCTTTGTTTAATCCAAAACACTATTGCTATGTGCACTTGAGCCATATGAATCAATCTAAATCGCATGCGTTTGGCTAAATAAAACCTAAAAGATATAGCCATGACTCAAGAAAACTCAACATTATTCGTAAAATCTTTGATTTTGGTGGCAAAAATGAGTTGTAACTCACTAAACAGTGCCAGTGGTTTATTATTCGTATTAAGAATTGGCACAACGATTCATGCAAATTAAATTTTTGTAACCAATCTTCATCAAACACTAGCCATATACATATGCACCACTATATATATGTGGTTTATGATGATGCCCATGCCCCATTATTTGCTGTTTAGGGTTTTTTTTAAAAGCATGACTATGCATTCCTCTTCAGACGGCACTTCGATAAAACATGGTTTAAAATTAAAATTTTAGAAAGGATATTTGTTAGATTTGTCAGTGTAAATTTAATAAATATTTTAAGTTTAAGTTTTTACATTAGATTTATAAGTGTAAATTTGTGTTCAATGAATGATACATATGATTAAAAAATGCAAAAATTTTAAGTGTACAATTTATTATAGATAGTTAAGTTTATTTATATACATTCGATAATCAATTAATAGGAAAGAAACTGAAACACAATATCCAGCATCAAATTAATATTTTATTTTATATTAATAAATTAAAAATAAAAGTAATATTTACAATTTGTTTGAACATGTAATTATGTGAAATATTAAGTAATTTTTTTATTATTTTGAATAATCTTATTATAATCAAACAAAAAATAAAAAAGTTGAAGTGGGGTTGTATTATATAACAGGCACTGTGTTGTTTGTTTTGTAAGATGTAGCAGTACATAGAGGTGGAGATGATTGATTCACGAGACAACATTGGAGTCCATAATTGGAATTATTCATGTCTGTGCTTTGAACCTAATTATATATATTTCTTATCTATTTTGTACACCTTTCATTGCATTTCATGCTAAAATCAACTTCTCAATTTTCTAAGAAAATTGGACTATTCATATAATTTTATCACAAGATTCGCCAAAGTACTGTCGCGACAAAAATCATTAAAGGTATTTTTATTTTCCATTCGTGATTTTTTTTATTAGAAAAATTAAACAGCATTAATACTATTTTTTTTTCCTGTGGATAGATTTCTAAGCTGCGTTGAATTGTGTTTTTTTTAGCGCTCATTTACACTTTTAAATTATGTCGGCAAAATTTAAATGTTTTTTTATATATAAATATATAAATATTAATAAATATTATTTATATAAATTTTCTTATAGTTATTACGCTTATGAAAATCATCATAAAAAATAAATTAATAATTTAATATATTTATATTTCTGTATAATATAACATTATTTATTAATTTGAATAATTAAAATATTTTTTTAAAAATTATGGTTTTACGATAAAAATATTTTATAATTATATATAAAGGTATAATTGTATTAATTAAAAATAAGATTGTCATTTGAACGTGCTAAATTAAAAATGTTTTCTTCATAAAATATAATTGATAAAAATGTAAGTAATTTTATATATTTTATCTTAAATCAGATAAATATATTTTTCTTACAATCAAATATAATAGTGTATAATCGAATACAAGTTAACTTGATATAAATAAGTAAACTGAGAGATTTGTTTTACATATAAAGGAGTGATATAACTTCTGTACTTTTGAAGATGGAAATTGTGTTTTATCCTAACATTAAGGGAATGGTTATTTGATCCACCGTAAATAATAACTAAATAGTAAATGAAGGCTTGTTTGATTGGTGAAGTGAAAAAGTTGGTGCAGAAGCCTGCAATTTGTTGCTCACAGACTCTCTTTGTCCTCTACTCATCTTGCCTTTCTTCTTCCTGCTCTCTCCCTCCTGATCTCTTGTTCTACCCTCTTTATACAATTAATGTATAATTATATTTATATCATTTTTTTTTAAAATAACGTAACAAACAATACATAAAAAAAGTATAGAAAAAGATGGAAATATTTCATTTGTAAGAAGCTATGGAAAAATATTACATTTTATGTAAGCAACTTATTTTTAATGCTTTGTCAGCTAATTTAGCCTTTTGCATGATTTGTATTATGCATCTTGATATAACGGTCACTGAGATTTGGATTGCTGTGTTTTTCAGTACAGTTCATTGATGATTGATTTTTACATCCAGACAAATTTACTCTCAGCATTTTTTATTCTGAAATGGATGTTTTGCATCATAATTTTTACGATTAAATCAGTCTTTCCTATGGCATAAATTGCCAAGAAATAATGCATTACAAAGAACAAATCATAGCAATTTAGATAAATATAAGCGATTTTCTGGTTCACAAGTAATGCATTTAACTCTAGTTAATTATTATAACTTGTAAAGGTGCATTGTGTAAGGGAAGTTTATCTTTTTCTTTTCTTTCCTTTTTCAATACCAGGGGAGTTCTTGACACTATATGATTTTCTGCTTATATATACCCCTTAAACTATATTGAAATTTAGATTTCTTCAGTTAGTGTAACTATGAAGGTTGGTACAGAAGCCTGCAGCTTGTTGTTCATTACCATTCTCCTTTCACTGATCTCAGGTTTCTATCTGTCCCTTCCCTACCTTTCAATGCCAACTAAGTATTCATTTACAGATACCATTTCTAATATATATTCTCAACACGTGCAGGGCTTGGCGTCCATTCTTTATCTTATGATTATTCTGCCACTACGAAGGTAATAACACTTCCTCACCAGTAGTTTCGTATGCTATAATCTGGAAATTTCACACTAGATATTCTTTTTGAGATGCAAAATGTTTTCCGGATTATTCTGTTTTAGACTGCATAACAACAATTTCATTTTGAAAGTTTTAGTTTAAACCAGACTAGATATAGGTACGTGATAACTTCTGTCAGCAGTTAATACACAAACTTACCTGTGTTGCCATTGTTTTGAAAACAAGCAGTGCTTGGCAGAACCTGAGAGAGCACAGTATGGAGGAGGCATTATAGTAAATCCAGGATTTGATCACAACATAGAGGGTTGGTCAGTGTTTGGAAAAGGGTCAATCAAGGAACGAATATCGAATGAAGGCAATAGATTTATTGTTGCTCACAATAGAACACAACCGTTGGATTGTTTCTCTCAGAAGGTCCAACTTAGGAAAGGAATGCTATACACCTTTTCTGGTAACTTCACTTTCTCCATTGTTGAGTTATATGGCATCTCTTTCACTAAAATTCATTTGTGGAATGTTGCCATGTTGGCAATTACTTTTCTGAAACATTTGAATGATTGTTTTTTCTTCCTTGTCCATATTTAGCTTGGTTTCAGGTCAATGAAGGAAGTGACATAGTGTCAGTCGTATTTAAAACAAAAGGAACTGAACTGTTACGAGGTGGTCAAGTGATAGCAAACCATGGATGCTGGACCCTTCTAAAAGGCGGCATAGCTGCAAACTTTTCAAGCCCTGTTGAAATTCTATTTGAGGTGAAATAATAGCTGCCATTCTTTCAGCAAAAATAAAATCTTTTCGGGGGGGACTAAAATGAAAATCAAGAAAGTTGTCAACAACCAAAAACATAATTAAACCTACTTATTTTCTTCTTTTCTTATATTCCATATTTCCTATAAATTCAAATCAAGTAATACTACAAGGCCCATGTTTTGTGGGAATAAAATGCATGTATGTGTTTGAGAATTGCGTGAGATACTTTTTGTTTGTGTATTTAGAAATATGTATGTTTTGTTGTCTAAAATTTATTTAAACACTGCAGAGCAAGAATTCAACAGTGGATATATGGGCTGACAATATCTCGTTACAACCATTCTCTAAGAAGCAGTGGAGATCACTACAAGATGCCAGCATTGAGAGGGTAAACTTATGCAAAGCCTACCCTCCCGACAAATGTTGGAATTTACATGAAAGCTAATGCTTCATTATTTTCATATATTTCCCCGTGCTTTTCATCTGGGGAAGAATCATTGCATTTATTTTTGTACCACTATTGAAATGAAACTCCCCAATTGTTATTCAAGCATGTGGTAATTAAGAGGATGAAAATAGCAAACCATATTTCATAAGACAAAATCAGTAGCAGAAAATTGTATACTAAAATACATTTCTTTAGTCCATTAGTGTGCTTACTGATAAAAAGACCAACTTAATCGAATAATAGAGCTAATAGATCAAAGTAGAAACCTTTAAAAATAGGACACTATTCAAACTAAAAGTAAGATAAGAACGAAAAAGTATTTGTACCTAGTTTGTAAGAGGAAAAAAATTAAGAGTCTTGATCTGTAACGCGCAGGTACGTAAGAGGAGAGTGAGATTCCAGATAACTCATGTAAATGAAACAGCATTGAAAGGAGCTACAGTCATCGCCAGACCAGTGAAGTTGAACTTCCCGTTTGGATGTGGAATGAACCATTATATCCTCACAAACAAAGACTACCAGAATTGGTTCGTGTCAAGGTTCAAATATGCAACCTTCACCAATGAGATGAAGTGGTATAGTACAGAGAAAAAGCAAGGCGTGGAAAACTATACGATCTCAGATGCCATGCTGAAATTTACCAAAGAAAATGGCATTTCTGTGAGAGGCCATAACATTTTCTGGGACGATCCAAAATATCAGCCTGAATGGGTCAAAACCCTAACACCTGGGGATTTAAAGAAAGCAGCAGCAAAAAGAATGGAATCTGTTGTTTCAAGATACAGAGGGCAACTGATTGCATGGGATGTGATGAATGAGAACCTTCACTTCCACTTCTATGAGGACAAGTTAGGCGAAAATGCTTCTGCAGAAGCATATGCAACAGCTTACGAGCTTGATCCAAAGCCAAAGATGTTCCTGAATGAGTATAACACCATTGAATATAGTGGGGACGAGGCTTCCAGCCCTGGCAACTATATGAACAAAATTAAGGAGATTCTGTCATTTCCAAGAGCTGCTGGAATGTCAGCAGGAATAGGGTTGCAAGGCCATTTTGCTAGTGGCCAGCCAAATCTTGCTTACATGAGGTCAGGTCTTGATCTTCTTGCTACAGCTGGACTTCCAATATGGCTCACAGAAGTGAGTGTGGATCCACAACCAAGTCAGGTATTTCGTCAACTTGAGAAAATATTTTTATGAACTTCTCATTCATGAACTAACTTCAGCTTGCAACATTACACATTAAGTCATGCTGTTAAGTTGGTTATAAAGCTTATTAAAATAAATTAAACAAAAAAGTGTATTTCGATTAATTAGAAAACAATCAGTCAGTGTAAACAAACCACTCCCTTCATATGTTGTCATTAAATCACATCATGTCATGTATGCATTGTAAGTTTGCTGATATTTTCGACAAGTACCTTAAAAGTGATAATTGTAATAGTTTCTGGTTCAAAGTGTAGATATTCTTTTTACTGATAAAATATGGAAATCAAAGGCCCCTTATACAAAAGTGATAAAATTTATCTTGTTATCTATTCGACTGCATGATCTTACTTTTCTCATTCTTGTTTCTTGAGCAGGCAGAGTACTTGGAAGAGGTACTAAGAGAGGGGTACTCTCATCCTGCAGTTGAAGGGATTATAATGTTTTCGGGTCCAGCACAAGCTGGTTTCAATGCCACTACTCTTGCGGATGAGAATTTCAAAAATACTCCTGCTGGTGACGTTGTGGACAAGCTCATTCAGGAGTGGGGAACTGGGCCTAATACTGCCACAGCAGATGGCAGAGGAATTGTAGATATTTCTCTGCACCATGGAGATTATGATGTAACTGTTACACATCCTCTCATTCACTCCCCTGTAACAATGAATCTAACTGTAAAGAAAGATTTTTCACTGCGAACCATTCATCTGAAAATGCGTACATAAAACGCTAAACAGTCATTGCATGTGTAAATTTGAATGACTAATAAAATGGCTTGCTGCAACAGGGTTCATTCTTCCTCCAATGTATTAATTATTATATACTTAAATATTGATTATACTTTTAATTATGTATCTTTTTAATTTCATTTACTTTAATTTAATCTTTTATATTTTAAAAGTGAATCAAAATAGTTATTCTGTCAGTCAAATTTGTTAATTATTAGAAAAAATATATTTGCCATTCTACATATCACTGGAAAATTATTTACATAAAATTAATTAGAAATTATCCTATGTATAACTTTTAAATTAATTATTATAAAAGTAAAAAAAAACTTAGCATCTACAGCAATTTATACAATTAAATGCAGTACACAAACCATTTTATGTTAATTTATTTAAATTAAATTATAAGACTTTTTTATTTTATATATATATATATATATATATATATATATATATATATATATATATATATATAAATACAATAGAGTTGTTTTAACATTTCTCTAACTTCACCACAGTCTTGGTTGTAAGATAAACACATGTGAAACAACCAAAATAATTTTTTTGAATTGGATATATTTTGAAATTGGATTAAAAGTGCAATGTTATTATAAATAATATAAACGTACTGTCATAATTAATTACAAAAACATTATCTGACTACATTATTTTAGCACATATATTCTTTAAAAATGATCACCGTGAATTAAATAAATGTAAATCTAATTAATAAAATACGTAATAATCCACGGAAATATTATATCCAATAAAACAATATCTAACTAAACAATTCACAAATATAAAACAAAAAAATAAACTCTCCCCAATGAATTAAAACTAATCTAACTCATTTTTTTAGCTGATGAGTTGAGAAATTATGTAGGTTAGATTATGTGGATTAACCAAAACCAGGAATCACACAATTCGATCCGTTTTACTGAATTAAATAAATTAATTTGTGAATTTTAACTCATTTTAACATCTAAAATTGTAACATTATGTGTTTTATATACATTGATTGCAAGTGTTTTAATATTTTAATAAATTATACTATGTTGCTTTGGAAGTAATATTCTTTCTCAAATCAGGTTAAGTTAGATATGGTAAAGTTCTCCAGTATTTAATATAATTGCTAGAGAAGGTTTCTTTATTACCATAAGTTATTTTTTCTTTTGTCTCATTTTATTTCACATTTTACTTAAAAATCAATATAATAATTAATATTTTAGAATTTTTTTAAATTACTATGTGATTTCTTAACATGTTTTATTTATCTTTTATATATATCAATTGCATATATTTTATATGACAAATCATCATAGATACGAGTATTCAAACATATAATCATATTCTCTATTAATTACCGAGTAAATAAGAGATACGAGATATCCTAATTTATAATTAGAGGTATTAATTATGTTAGCAATAATACATTAATTCATTTAGATTTTGTACGATATATATGTATATCATACAGGAATCCAGATATGTATACCAATGATTATAATTTATTGTTATAATTAAAATGAAGTTGTATGAAGTATGAATCTACGTAAGTACAACTTAACTTTGTATGAACTGTCACTGAGATTACTTCGGCATGCATCGCTTCTGTGAATGTACGTACATTTATATATTTACACGGTTTAAGAAAAGAGTTAATGCACTTTTAAAATAACACCAAAACAATTTGTTTTTCTTAACATAACGCTATAACAGATTAAATGCACCATTTAATTTATAGTGTTAATATATATACCCCCACACTAAAAAGAAGTATACTGTGTGAAGACTTATTTGATGAGTGAAAAGATGAAGAAGGTTTCTGCAGAATTAGGTTTCTGCAGACTTATTTGCCTCTTACTGATCTCAGGTTCCTATTTGCTTCAATGACAACTAAGCATTCACTTAAACCATTTCTCTCTATATATCTAATGTATCTTCTTAATACATGTGCAGGCTATGGCGTCCATTCTATGTCTTATGATTATTCTGCTACTACAGAGGTAATAACACTGACAAGTCCACTTTGTATAAAAGTGTTCTTAATATGACATGCAAAATGTTCTTCATGTTATTACTTTGTTTTATTGATGGTTAATTAGTTTCTCTTACAACAAATGACTGATTACTTCAATGATAGTTTATGATAGAGAGCATAAAATAATTCATTGTCTATTATTTTAAATTACGTGTAAATCCATTTATTATATAAAAAAACTTATAGATAATTAATTATCCTTCCACTATTTTTCAAGATCCAATTTTTTTCTTTTCAATGTTTTAGTAAACTGAGAAATTAATCTAATCATATTTTATAATTAAATATATTTTTATGAAATAAGTAGGAACTTCAATTTTGCTGAGTATAAAAAACATATATATATATATATATATATATATATATATATATATATATATATATATATATATACACTTTTAAACCATTACTTTATTGTGAAATATTAATAAGACATTCACTTATTCATCATTGGAATGGATACATTATTGGACTATTACCAATATAGGGTATTAATTAGACTATTTTTATTAATCTCCATAATTAAATATTTATATCATATATATGTAGTACTATATATTGAATGAATAAATTATTTATGTATGAAAATAGAAAATTAGATCCAAAATAATTTGATCTTATTTATGTATTTAAATAAAAAACAAATTATATTTTTCAAATAATTTTTGACGAATAAAAATAAAATATTTTAATAAATTCATTACAATCCAAAATAAATTTGATCTTATATATCCATTTTGGGACGAGTACACAAATGTTAATACACAAACTTATTTGTGTTGCCATTGTTTTGAAAACAAGCAGTGCTTGGCAGAACCTGAGAGAGCACAGTATGGAGGAGGCATTATAGTAAATCCAGGATTTGATCACAACATAGAGGGTTGGTCAGTGTTTGGAAAAGGGTCAATCAAGGAACGAATATCGAATGAAGGCAATAGATTTATTGTTGCTCACAATAGAACACAACCGTTGGATTGTTTCTCTCAGAAGGTCCAACTTAGGAAAGGAATGCTATACACCTTTTCTGGTAACTTTCTCCACTGTTGAGTTATATGACATCTCTTTCACTAACATTCATTTGAGGAATGTTGCCATGTTGGCCATTACTTTCTGAAACATTTTGAATGATTGTTTTTCTTCCTTGTCCATATTTAGCTTGGTTTCAGGTCAGTGAAGGAAGTGACATAGTGTCAGTCGTATTTAAAACAAAAGGAAGTGAACTGGTACGAGGTGGTCAAGTGATAGCAAAGCATGGATGCTGGACCCTTTTAAAAGGCGGCATAGTTGCAAACTTTTCAAGCCCTGTTGAAATTCTTTTTGAGGTGAAATACAATTCTGCATTTATACCTTCCAGAATTTTTTTAACAACTGCTATTTATTTTATGTCAAGCAAACTAAGATTTTGAATATTCACCGTTATTTGAATAAGGAAACTAAGATTCTATAGGAGATTCTCATTTAAGAGCATGCAATTTTTTTGAGGTAAGAAAAAAAAAAAATCATGAGTGATCAAAGGAATTATACGTGCTTGAGAATGGCGTGAGGTTCTTTTTTTTTGTGTGTGTGTGTATCAGATATATGTTTTCTTAACTAAAATTCATTGAACTATGCAGAGCAAGAATTCAGCTGTGGAAATATGGGCTGACAATGTTTCCTTACAACCATTCACTGAAAGGCAGTGGAGAGCAGAACAAGACGCCAGCATTGAGAAGGTAAAATAATGCAAAACCTACCCCTTTTACAGATGTTGGAATTCACATGAAAGGCAATGCTTCTTTACGTTTTCATATATCCAGTGCTTTACGCAGGAAGAATCCCTGCATTTATTTTTGTACAGCTACTAAAATGAAATTCACAAATTGTTAGTCAGCTCAAGCATGTGATCATTAAGAGGAATGAATGAAATGGAAGATCAAACTTTGACCTATAACATGCAGGTACGTATGAGGAAAGTGAGATTCCAGATAACCAATGAAAATGGAACAGCACTGAAAGGAGCTACAGTCATCCCAAACGCAGCAAAGTTGAACTTCCCATTTGGATGTGCAATGAACAATTTTATCCTCACAAGCAAAGACTACCAGAACTGGTTTACGTCAAGATTCAAATTCACAACTTTCACCAATGAGATGAAGTGGTATAGTACGGAGAGAACACAAGGCCAGGAAAACTACAGTACCGCAGATGACATGCTGAAATTTGCCAAAGAGAATGGCATTTCTGTGAGAGGCCATAACATTTTGTGGGACGATCCAAAATATCAGCCCGAATGGGTCAAGACCCTAACACCTACAGATTTAAAGAAAGCAGCAGCAAAAAGAATGGAATCTGTGGTTTCAAGATACAAAGGGCAACTGATTGCATGGGATGTGATGAATGAGAATCTTCACTTCCACTTCTATGAGGACAAACTCGGCCAGAATGTCTCTGCAGAAGCGTATGCAACAGCTTTCGCGCTGGATCCACAGACAAAGATGTTCCTGAATGAGTTTAACACCATTGAATATAGTGGGGATCAGGAAGCCAGCCCTGCCAAATATTTACAGAAAATTAAGGAGATTCTGTCATTTCCAGGAGTTGCTGGAATGTCAGCAGGAATAGGGTTGCAAGGCCATTTTGCTAGTGGCCAGCCAAATCTTGCTTACATGAGGTCAGGTCTTGATCTTCTTGCTGCAACTGGACTTCCAATATGGCTCACGGAAGTGACTGTGGATCCACAACCAAGTCAGGTATTTCCTCAACATTGACTTAGGACTTATAACAGAAACTTCAGCTTATATATTACCCCCATTAAGTCATCTGATAAATTTGTTTATAGAGTTTACTAAAATAAATTTTAAAAGAAGTTGTTTTCATAAATATGAGAAAATAAAAAGAAATAAATCTCAATATTACCAGCAAGGTGACTGACTGCATTACCTTTACTTTCCTCTTTCTTGTTCGGTGAGCAGGCAGAGTACTTGGAACAGGTACTAAGAGAGGGGTACTCTCATCCTGCTGTTGCAGGGATTATAATATTTGCTGGTCCAGAACAAGCTGGTTTCGCGCAAACTACTCTGGTGGATCAGAATTTCAAAAATACTCCAGCTGGGGATCTTGTGGACAAGCTCATTAAGGAGTGGGGAACTGGGCCTAAGATTGCCACAGCAGATGGCAGAGGAATAGTAGAGATTTCACTGCACCATGGAGATTATGATGTAACTGTTACACATCCTCTAATCCACTCCCCTATAAAGTTGAATCTAAGTGTAAGGAAAGATTTTTCACTTGAAACCATTGATGTGAAAATGCATTAATAAAACAAGATTGTAAAACATGGTTGATTATTCTTGTTTTCCAAATCCTACAACAATCAATGATCTTCCTCACACTCCAGCATAAAACATATACAAAGTGATTTTGATAAATATCAACTAGTCAGTTAATCAATTAAATACTTACATAGTTATTTTATCGGGATAAAATTATTGTAAAAAGGACAAGAAATGATACATGCAAAAAAGTATTTTCAAAATGTACTAGAAGTCATAAAACATAGCAAATAGATAACAAAATTTTGCAAGTCCAAGATCTCATTTCTTAGACATTGTCGAACTAAAATTATAAACCACTATTAAAATTTTTCATATTTTATAGAAATATTTTTGTAAATTTTTTATGAAAATTACAAGAAATAAGTTTCCTATAAATTTAAATATTTTTTTATGAAAAATTGTAAAAAATAATTAACTTCTTAATAGTGAATCATTATTCATAAAGAGAACAAATTTCATCTTCGTCTATAAGGTGACAATGATCTGTGCTTCTATATTACACATACTTTAATGAAATATCAGTATTAGATATTTGAAACAAATAAATTACTAGTACTTCATAGATTAAGATACTTCTTCGATAAATGTCGGTGAAGTATTCTAGAGTATAGTATTCAATACGTATTAGATAAGAATATGTAAAACAAATTGAAGTATGACGGCTTCGTAACCTATAAATAATAAAAGAGTTTAAGATGATTAAGATCTCACTTAAGACATCCATTTTCTGATTGGGCTGAGTTCCTTTTCTAGTTTAATGGGCCAAGCACATGTGAATAAAGAGAAGAATGAGGATTCTTGAATAAGAACATGAATCAATACTCCAATCACTCACAGTAGTCAAGTTTATAGGAAAGCAATGTATCCTCGTTGCAACGTCAGAAACATCAATATTCCATTTCACTCAGCAAAAGATTTTGCATAAGCAGAACAGCAACTCACTCGTGGTGTTTGAACCGGGAGGAATCAAAATCATTTGGTGATATAGCAGTTTAAGGGGTAGTACCCTTCATCTTGAGGATAAGATGGAAACTTTTATTTTGGAAGGGGGAGTCTTGACTGATACCTGATAAATTAGTAACATAACTAGTTAGTTAAGTTGTTCGTTGGAGAAATAAGTCATGTTACCTGTAAATAACAAGGAATATTAAGAAAGATATTATCTTGTAATGTGTGACAGAATTTGGGCATTATGAATTAGAGGACTTGGCAGTACATATGCTGATGTTATACTACAGCCATTGGCAAGGGTAGATCAAGTGAGAAAAATCTCAACGCTAGTGTGTGTGGGCCATTTGCAAGATCATACTGTTAATGGATTGTTGTCAGAATCAGTACTCAGAAGTCAGAAATTAATGCTAGATTGATCCATAAAAAGGGTAAAAATTCTAATATTGCCTTAATAAAACCAACGAACAATTTTTTCAGTAATCTCTAAATAAAAGATGTACTTTTTTGTCAGAAACCTGCCAAAAACCAGTGATCTAATCTAATAAAGCATTAGTACAAAATAATGCTACATAAAGTTTCTTTTACATAAACTGAGAACTCTTTTTCACAGTTTAAAAGAAAAATAAAATGCAATACAGTCCTAACAACTATGTAAAAAACGTGCTTCTGATTGCAAAACCAGCTTTCCTACCTATCCAAAAGCGAGCTGGACAAACTGTAAAAAAGAAGAAAGAGATGAATTAGACTCAATTCCTCTTTCCCATTGAGATCTTCACACACAAGCGAGATCAAAGTCACTTGTTATGGGTTGGATTTGAATTGCTTGGAGGATTCTTCCTTAAACTTGTGGTTACTGATCTCTGAGTGGCCTCATATGCTGTTTTCAAATTTTCTAAACTTGCAGAGAAGGAGGCACGAACTAGCAGCTTCCGTGGCGGACACCTGCCTATCAGATTACTTCTAGTCGCTCTAGTGATTGAAACTACAGAGCAAATGATGAAGTGTGTGAGAATTAAGACAGCGAGGGCCACCAAAGCACGTTGAGAGGTTTTCATGATAGGGTCTAATGGAAATACAATAATTGAAGATAGGTAAAAGAATGGAGCTCTGGTGCTTGGAACTATCCCATAGGAAAGTTGCAAGTTTGTTTATGTTGTTGTTTGCGTATAAGCTAGAAGAAAGGAAGTACACTGGTGTATCTGAAATGTAGCAATCTTTTTTATTGTTTGTTGGTCCTTGATGAGTGAAGACTATGAGACTATGGAGTAAACAACGAGGTTTAGGTAGGCTGCACTCTTTGAAGGATGGAAAACGTATTAAAGGGTTTTTCAGCCAATAAACACTCAATAGCTAGTGAAAGATTCAGATTTAGGGAATTGAAGAGGAAGGAAAAGAATGATGCATGGATTATTTAACGTGCCACATCTTTGTTGTGTAGTGGGGTAGAACATGGAACGGAAGGAGCTTATCATGTGATCCTTAATCAAATCCCATACTTCTGACATTTCCACAATCTTTCCATCACATGCCAATAAATATCATGTGATAATATATATATAGGTTTTCCTCATTTTGCTATTACTTTCATTATACAGCTAGACTTAGCTGGATAAGGTTACTTTCTAGGAGCATGAAGCTTCTTCCTCCCAAGGGAAGCATCTTTTACCGCCTCTCCACATGCAACAGAAACGCTATTGAGAGTTTATAATACTCCTAATTGTATCAGGTTAGTTTACGTGCAATTGTACTTTTTCTATAGAACTCAATAACGAATCAATTATACTTCAAAGCATGTAACCTTTTTATATATGGAATTTGATAAGGTTTTCAGGTTTCACGCATATACTTTAATTGAGGATGTGGCATTTTTATTTGGTCTGGAATAAAGTTTTGCGTTTAATAATGGAGGTTTTTTAAATCGAAGTGTCTTTCTTGTTTAGAATCAAATTTGCATGTGAGTTGCAGCTTCAATATTCTTTCTGCTGATAAAAACATATGGTCCATGTCAGCAAGAATAAAAGAGAATTTGCAGTAGTAACCTTAATAAAATATTTTACTTATATATTTATTGGCTAGTTTAATCAAATTGGTTCTTCAATCATGTTCTGGTGCTGCTCCCCCTGAATGCAGAAGCACCTTTCTACATGGTTTATTGTTTTGCATGTGTTGGCCTATTTCGGCATGTTTTCATATACTTGACCGTTTATGCAACTGACTTCGATTCATTAGCTCGTTGTCTTAGTTCTCATAAAAAACTCCATAATTCTTCTTATGGTTTTGCTCTTTGTTTGGTCACGTGACACAAGTAAGCATTTTCTGATTGTAAAAAATATTAACTTTGCAGCCTCAACAGCCAACCGAACAGATTCATCATAGCAACAATTCCCCAACGTATGAAGTATAGTCTCAATCTCTGATCTGATTTCCCGCACCTGATCTTGAGAAAAAAATATGCCACAGAAATAGATAGCATAGCTCATTAGAAAGTGGTCAAGAAGTCAAGACCACACTTCCAAGTTCCAACTCATGTTAGCACCACAATACACTACCTACCAAATACTCTCTTTAACATGTGCAGTACTAGTTATTTAGTAAAAGTGGCTCTAAAATCCAGATAGAATGAGTTCAGGATGGGGGAATCAAAATTTAGTGTTAAGATGCATTTTTTTCATCCCCATTACACCCATTTAAACTATTACTATATCTACTTTTCAAGTCACAAACAATCAAATTTAGAGAGTAGTGTAATATGTGTTTATATCATTCAACAGAACATATTTAAATCTTGGAATTAATCAATTCAATTAGGTTAATCAGTATTAACTATCAGTCTTTCACAAAAATTCTAAATGCACAGGATTTGATCATTTTATGCATATAATACAAACGAGGGCGTAAGAATCTACGCATATATGTAGAACAAGCAAGAATTATATTAAGTTAAATATTTGTCAAAGAATGAAAGAGAAAACAAACGTTAAGAATTTTCTGCAAGCTAAAATAGCTGAATCTTATTCAGTTTCTTTATCAAAATTTACTGAAGCATCCTCCTTCCAGATCAAGTTACTATAACCAAAGATTCTTGCAAAACATGAAATCAACTGTTTCTGTAATATTTCTTCCTCAGGAAGGACAAGATTTGTCTCCCTTCTCAAAGATGTTACTTCTTTATCAGGAATTCCACAGGGAACGATGTGCCTAAAGTAGCTTAAATTAGGATCAATGTTAAATGCCATCCCATGAGAAGTGATTCCACTCGATATCCGAACGCCAATAGCACCTATCTTCTTGTCTCCAACCCATACCCCAGTCTCACCACACTGTCCAGAACAAGCTTTCACACCATACATAGCAGCCAGTTCAATCATGGTTGACTCAATTTTCTCCACAAAACTCCGAGCACCAAGCCCAACGTCGCGAAGAGATATGATAGGATACAAAATGGCTTGGTGGGGACCATGAAATGTAATGTCTCCTCCCCTTTGTGTGTAGTGAAGTTCTGCTCCAATTTTTTCCAGCTCCGACTGGGGGATTAGCAAATTGTGAACAGTTTGCCTTTTGCCAACAGTGTATGTAGGGGGGTGTTGCAAAGACAGAAGAGTGTCACATCTCCTATGAAGCTTTCTATCCAAGGCCAGTTTTTCCTGCAGTTTCAATGCATCCAAATAGTTGACAACTCCCAGTTTCCATACCTCAAGGCTTCGCAAACCCCTCATTCCTGTTCACTGAGATATTATCAATTGCATACGTAACATATTCTTACGCTATAAAGACAGGAAGACAGTGAAAAGCACGAAAGAGAGTAAAAGCATTATAACAAATAGGGACTAGGCAACATTAACTAAATCGAAATTCCTGCCCGAAGGCATCGAAGGTGCAAAGACATGCTTCTTATAAGGGTACCCAGAAACCGATTCCTATTCACTCAACATGTACCAATCGCAGGAGAAAGAAAAGTGAAGGAGAAACATTAATAAATAAAAGAAAGTTACCGAAAGGGTTGAGGAACTAGGCAACTATTGCCCTGCGATATATCTCTCAAATATCGTAATTTGATTTCTCAAACGGTTCACCCGAATGAAAATTACTGCCCGGTTTCATATATTTTTCCAAAGATTCAAACTTGAGGTAGTTCTGTCTCAAACTGCCTTGCTCTGAGCTTTATCTCACGTAATAATCTAACGTCAACGTCCTTTGGGTAAGGCACGTTCTTGGTGGGCCAACATGAATTGTATGATTGGTATCTTCCTCTGAACTCTCAAGTGTAAAAAGGTTATCGAATAAAAAAAATTAACAATTTGTGTATGCACATAAGTTGACAACTTATCTTAATCAACCTGTTCGAGAATTGTCTCTACGAACCTAACAGTCGCACCGTCCAGTCATGATGGGCTCACCATAACTACATATTTATACAAGTAATCTGGATTACTATATTCCGCTTTTTAAGATCATAATTTTAGAATAACTTTTTTTTTTGGAGAAATTTTAAATAATTATTTTTGCACTGATAAAAATTAAATTTATATTTATGATCTCATTGTTTTTCATGTATTTACTATATACGTGAACGATATCAATTTTAATTACAACATTTACTTTCCAAATAACATTATCTTGTGATAAAATACTTCATATTTGAACCTACAAAATCGTATTTTATTGTACTGTAATTTTTCTACTTTTTGAAAGAGTAAAATAAACGAGGAAATATAAGAAAAGATCAGAGGTATTGTAGAAATTGAAAAAGGAAAGTGTTTCTGTTGAATCAATGGGGTTGCCGATATGGGAAGCCTTCGTCAGTTGGTTACGCAGGTGAAACTTACGACCACTATTTTTCTCTTTCTTTTCCTTCTCGTTATGCATGCTCAATATCTGTCACAAAATTTAAGACTCATACTTCTATTGTTTTGTTTATGAAGTTGTGATGAGTAGTCAGTTATTTTCAGCACATGCTGCATATATAATAGTATAAGTTGGAATTAGGACTTACAATGATTCTCTTAATCTAATATACATGTCATGTAGCTCTTCCTTTTCAACTGAAAAACTCATGCATATATTTTTGTTATTGATATTTTACTCAACAGGATTGAATGGCCTTCATAGTGGAGTTTTTAATTTTTATTTCTTTCTCTTGTGTTCAATGGTATATAGTCTATTTTTCAAGCAAGAAATGGAGTTATCTTTGGTTGGTCTTCAAGATGCTGGGAAAACGTCACTGATAAATGTTATTGCAGTATGTAACCGAACATTCGATATGATTAGTTTTCCATTTCAATTGTTCTTTGCACCTTGCTAACGCCTGGTGTATGTTTGATTTTGATGAAGACTGGTGGATATAGTGAAGACATGATTCCTACGGTAACTATGTTTATTTTAAACACTGATATTAATTTGATGCCATACTTCGTGTTGTCAATTTCCACAAAGTTGAGGTTAATTTTTTTATCTGCAAATTGACTTGATGACCTTGTTACCTACAGGTAGGATTTAATTTGAAAAAGGTAACTAAAGGGAACGTGACAATAAAGTTATGGGACCTTGGAGGTCAACCAAGGTTTCGCAGTATGTGGGAGAGATACTGTCGTGCTGTTTCAGCAGTTGTGTAAGCCCTCTAAACACTTTGAAACGTAACACAACCATTGCATCAGTCACTGAAGTATTGTTTTTTCTTATCTAGTGAAAAGTTTCCTATGCCTTTCTCCCTGTAACATTTCATCTGTGGTTTCCTTTTGCTTCTTCAGTTCTAAAGAAATAGGAATTAGAACTTCAAATTTGACAAGAGAATAAAATTAATGCGATGAAAATATTTAATTAGAAAAAAAAATGGTATTTTAATTAATTTGAAACTTGAATATATTTTTCCCATATTGAAAATTATGAATTATTTCCTACCTCAAAGGTTCCATGAGAATTACTGCTGAAAATCTCACCTTGCAGCTTTTTTACTAAGATTTTTTTAGATTAGACTGAAGTGACTCTCTCTGCTGATGTGGCATGATGCTGTGTTATTTACGAGCCTGCAGAGAAAAGAGAACTATGCCACATCAGCATGACAAGGCGAATCAATTGCATTAACGTGCAAAGTAAACTCAGGGTTATGCGATTACAAATTTACAATGGAAAAGTACAGAAATTAAACTCCATGGAAACTAACAAAAGTGTAATTACGTGTACAGAAATTAAACTTCAGGGTTATTTCCATCCAAGGCAGCACAAATTTTCAACTTCACACCCTTCTTGCCCTACATACTCTACATAATTTCATTTTAGATTATTCAGTCAAGGTCTTAACGTATAATTGATATCATTTATTTTATGGTTGAACTTGCAGATATGTTGTTGACGCAGCTGATTATGACAATTTACCTGTCTCTAAAAATGAACTTCATGACTTGTTGAGCAAACCTTCTTTAGATGGGGTTCCCATTCTAATTTTGGGCAATAAGATTGACAAACCTGGGGCATTGTCCAAGCAAGACCTGATAGATCAGATGTAAGTATCTTGTCTAGATGTATTAGATGTTTAGATGTGCCAAGCCATGTTGAGTATAATGCTAATTAAAGCAAAAGTTCGCTTAAACATTTAACAGTCACCTCACACCATGCAAGATAATTTAGCTGCAAATTATTATCATCTTTTCTTTCGCTATCTAAGGATAGTAACCAAGTAATATGCTTAATTCTGTCTGCAACTGCTAACGTGGTTTCATAATTTCTTTTAAATGATTTAGCTTTCAGAATGTGCTCGTACTTTCCATGTTTGTTTCATATGTGCAGGGGACTGAAATTCATCAATGATAGAGAAGTTTGTTGCTTCATGATCTCCTGTAAAAACTCCACCAATATTGATACAGTTGTTGATTGGCTTGTAAAAAATTCTAAATCAATAAACTGAAGCTCGAGTTCCCTATAAATCTATTCGTACCTTTTATTACAGACGAACCTATCTGATTGAAGTCACTTCTGTTGGTGTGATACTGTTATTCTCTTCCTTTGTTTGACTAGATAAAATCAAACCAGACAACATGTGATTTGATTTACGTCGTTATAAATTACATTTAAGTACTGTAAATAATAAGCTAGGTCAATTGCTAATGCTACATGTGTAACGGATTTGAATAAACAATTGTGCTCATACTTTGCTTTTATGATTGATAATTTTGGGTTCAGTCATCGAAGACAACAATCCACAGCTTCCTTCCCAATTCAGTTTGAAATAGCAGTTCAATTAGCAATAGTACTTTATTGTAAAATTTAGAGCTCAAATGGTGTACTCAGCATTCCACACTCCCAGTTTGTGACTGATGCTTGCAAACTTGTCGAGAGATACAAAAATCAAATTAACTGCTTAGCATTTTACATCTTCTCCTGTTCTTTTGGTGGAAGAAACAAAACAGCAAATTTTTATTTTCTGGCTGAAAAAACAGAGCAAGTCTTTGTGCCTAGTCAATAACAAAGACACATGAGAATAATAAAGGAACAGATAAATGTGAAAAAACAAAGCTGACAATGCAGTGCATGCCTTTTTGCTTCCAAGTTGATGAAAATGACACACTTGGGGACAATAAAAGCCACAGATAAATGTGAAAAATTATAGGGGCATTCCGAGAATCGAACTCGGGACCTCTTGCACCCAAAGCAAGAATCATACCACTAGACCAAATGCCCATATTGAAGAGTTTAAGGCTAAGTTAAATTTATCCTAGTTTTTTATTAAACTTTTTTATGCATGCCACAATGACCGCAATTGATTAGATAGGTAATTGTCAGTCAAGAAGGTAACTTTTTTATCAGCCAAGGTATCACAGAGAGCTTTCTATTACCCCTCTGGTTTTATATTTTAAGACCAACTATGACTTGCAACACAATATTCTATTATATTTTCAGTTGCAAGTCGTCACTTACCAAAACTGTTAATGTATAGCACCATTGATCCCAACACATTCACATGGAGCCTCTGACACTCATTGTTATTTAACTAACAAACCAACAGGTCAAACTTGTCAGCTTCCGGAGCTTCAAAGGGTTAAAATTTATAAATGATATCTTATGCTTGTTGGTATTTATGTACACCGATTAACAAGTCAAGTCAAGTCAAGCTTGTAAGCCTCCAAATCATCAAAATATAGAGGATTTCAAGAACAATGTTGTTAGAAATATAAGAAATATCTGAACATATTAAAAGCCTTATTATGAAAATTTTGTTTGCTAATTCTATTAAAAACTAAGGAATTGTTTTTGTGAAATTATTGTTGGGTGAACTCTGAAGTTAAAACTTTGCTTCTAACCTGTACATCTGACGTTTTACCACATGTCATCAGTAAATTGGTAGCATTTTCTTTTTCACCACTAGTAACATTACTTGTAGTTAAAACTCCACCAACAATGATACAGTTGTTTATTGGCTTATAAAACATTTCACAGACCTGAATTTTGCAGTATGTGCATTTATTTGTATGTTGGATTACAGACTGAGCCAAACTGAATGAAGAAACTTCTGTTAGTGTTATACTAGATTTCTTTTCCTTTTCTGCCTGACTGACATCAAATCAAACAGCATGTGATTTGTTCCGTATGTTATCACATACTAAATGAGTGTTGTTAAGCATAAATTAAGATACTTGCTAATGCTACATGTATAATGCACTTCGATAAATAATTGTGTTCATACTTTTGTTTTTCAAGATTTTGAAATCTTGGAATGCAGGCATTATGGACAGCAATTCACATAAGATCACATACCTCAACAATTTGAAATAACATAGTTGATTTAGCAATATTCTTTATTGTAGAAAGTAGAGAACTATTGATATACTAAGACTTAAGATCACATGCCACAATCTCATTACTGTAGCTGATGCTTGAAAACTTGGAGATAAGGAAATCAAAGCAACTGCTTAGTGCCTCATGGTAACCTTATCTTGGTGCTCAATTCTGAAGGTAATACAGCCAGATTGTAAAGTCTCATTCACATCCTCTCCAGTTCTTTTGGAGGAAATAAGGTGCAAAGCATTCTTTTTTGGCTGATAATGCTGTTCTTTGTGCCAAGTCAATGACAAAACACACATGAGGACAATAAAGGAAGAGATGCCTATAAAAAAGGTTAGGGGCATTCCGAGAATCGAACTCAGGACCTCTCGCACCCAAAGCGAGAATCATACCACTAGACCAAATGCCCACATTGAATAGGAGTTGGCTAAGTCAAATACGTGTCTAGTTTTGCTATAAAATTTCTTATAGATATGGTCAAATTATAACATAAGTGAGGTGTAATCCTTATCTTACAAGCAAGTTTTGTATAGAGATAAGGAAATCAAAGCAACTGCTTACTGATAACAAAGAATTACGCAGAAACTGTGAAACTGTATATTATTGATTCTTTGTCATACCTCAAATGAGGAATACAATCGTGTATTTATACTTCCCAAGATATTCTCAAAATCAAATAAAAACTACCCAAAATATCATTAATATCAAAATAGTCCAACTAACTCATAATTATCTTCTTATTATCTTTTTATTCCAACAAACTCATAAAATTGAATATTTAATTTTATGCAACAAAACCCAACACTTAGTGCCTCGTGGTAACCTTATCTTGGTGCTCAATTGTGAAGGTTAATACAGCAAGATTGAAAAGTCTGATTCACATCTTCTTCTTTTCTTTTGGAGGAACTAAGGTGCAAAGTATTCTTTTTTGGTAGATAATGCTCTTCTTTGTGCAGAGTTAATGACAAAACACACATGAGGATGAGGACAAAAAAAGGAAGAGATACTGATAATGCTCTTCTTTGTGCAGAGTCAATGTCAATGACAAAACACATATGAGGACAAAAAAGGAAGAGACACCTATGAAAAAATTAGGGCCATTTCGAGAATCGAACTCGAAACCTCTTGCACCCAAAGCGAGAATCATACCACTAGACCAAAAATGCCCACATTGGATAGTTAGAAAAGGGAAAAGTCAAATATGTGTCTAGTTTTCTAATAAAAGTGTTGATGCATTAAACATTTCACATCAATTAGATATGACATGTTATAGTATATAAGTAAGGTTCAAACCTTACCTTACAGGCCGGTTTCATAGGATTGAGTTAAGCTCATATCTACTTTCTAATACATTTACCCCCTTCGCATATGCTTACCAAACTAGACTAGCCTACCACAATAGACGATTACCCGGTTTGAGCAATAGGCTCAAATGAGAATCTGCTAAAAGCTATGATATATATGTTAATGTGAATCGTTACTTGTATTTCTAATCTTCTTTCATAAGTGTAGGGGGCTGAAATCCACCAGCAATGGAAAAGTAGGTTGCTTCATGGTACCATATGAAAACTGCACCAACATTGGTAAGTTGTTGATTTTCTTATAAATCATCTCAAATAATTTTTCTTGGACTTTGTATCTATTTTCTGTTAGATTACAGACTGAACCAAGCTGATTGATCTATTGAAGTAACTAGTTTTAGTGTCATAGTAGTTTTTGTTTTCCTTTTCTGACTAACTTTTCATCAAAATAGACATGTGATTTGGTATCAAATTTGAGTGTTGTATATTATTAAGATACATGTTAATGCTACATGTCTAATCGACGCACAAAAATAATAGTGCCACTTGTCCTCATACATTTTTTTAAGATTGATATTTTTGGGTGCTAGACATCATGGACAAGAGCACAATTCACAACCTCCTTCCTCATTAAATTTGAAATAAGATAGTTTAATTTAGCAATATTACTTCATTGTAGAATGTAGTGTTCAAATGATGTATTGAGACTTGAGATCACATACCACAATCTCAGTGTTGTGGCTGAGCTTAGTGGAGAGATAAGAATCAAAGCAACTCAAAGTATTGGGAATCTATCTTGGGCTCAATTCTCAAGAGTAAAAGAGCTAGATTGTGAAGACCGATTCAATGTTCTTTTGGTGGAGGAAATGCAATTGCCAGTATTCTTTTGTCGCAGAGAATGCAATGCATGCCTTTTGCCAGTCAATGACACACATGAGAATAATACAGGCACAGATGAATATGAAATAAAAAAAATAGGGGCATTCCGAGAATTGAACTCAGGACCTCTCGCACCCAAAGCAAGAATCATACCACTAGACCAAATGCCCACATTGAAGGTAAAAGGGGTAAGTCAAATCTATGTCTAGTTTTCTGTTAAGATTGTCTTCACTTCTCTATCGCACACAAACTGAACAGTTTTGCTTGCCTAGATAGGCAGTTGTTAATAGACTATACTTGTAAATGTAGATTTCTAAGTCACCTCCTATTCATAGTTAGTTAGCCAGCTGTTATTCTGTTGTGATAGCTGATGTTAGTTGGTTTAGCCAGTTGTCATTCTGCTGTGACAACTGGAGTTTGTTGGGAAAAGATCTAGCTTGTAGCCCAAGATATTCCTCTGTATAACCGAGCTCTATAGCCCTCTGCACGTAATGGATCATTTTTACGGTTTAGTAAAATTTCAAATTACTTCCTCTCATTTTCTCTAAATTCTATTGTCATTTAAGGTAACTTGTTTTTTAGTCAAGCTATCAGAGACTTTCTTATTTGGACTTCTGATTTTATATATGACATGCAACATACCATCATGTTACATTTTCATTGGGTAGCTATCACTTGATACTGAAAAACTTTTAGCCAAGGTTATTAATGAAGCTGATAGGAAATGAAAGAAAACAGAATTTCTTTTTTGATTGAGTTTAGGTCTATAAAGAATTCTTTGGATATTCGAGGGACCCAGGCCTCTCCCTAGCCCCAATCCTCTTTCACCAAAATGACTAATTCTCAACTCTTCTTATTTATAGGCAACCTGCTTATTAATTTCTGGTAATTAACTCACCTTAACTAACCAACTCTCTAATTATTCTACCAATGAAAATAGAATATAGAGTTCAAATGGCATATTTAGATTTGAGATTACATAGCATGGTCAGTGCTATCTTGGTCCTCAACTGTGAAGGCTAGTACAGCCAAATTGTAAACTCTGATTCACATCTACTCCTAGTCAAAGAGGGACCTCTCGCACCCAAAGCGAGAATCATACCACTAGACCAAATGCCCACATTGAATGGTAATAAGCCAGGTCAAATTTATGTCTTGTTTTCTGTTAAAATTGTTTATGTATACCATCTTGTCTGCATTTCTATATTGAGATTGCACACAGATGACTTGTTTTGCTTACTTGGATAGGCAATTGTCACCCAAGGTAATTTGTTTTTCTAGTCAAGGTATCAAAGAGAGTTTACTTCTTACATTTTCAGTGGCTAGCTGTTACTTTGTAGAGAAAAAAACCGGCCAAAATTGTTATAGTATCATATAAAAAATGGATAATAAATGAAAGAAAACAGGAACTTTTTATTTAGATTAGTGTAGTGTATCTCTATAAAGAATTCCCTGGATATTTGAAAGATCAGCTCTCCCTAGTCCTCTTTCACAAAAATGACTAACCTTTCTTCTCAATTCTTATTTATATGCACCCTTCCCTTTTAATTTCTAATAATTAACTCGCCTTAACTAACTAACTAACTAACTCTATTTAATCCACTAGTTAGGGGGTTACCTATCAGTTTCTCATCATTCATCCCAATGCATACACTAAACAAACCAAGAAGTCAAGCTTGTCAAATTATTTTCGGTATTAGAAATAATACCCAATGATTTTCGGTATTTTAGGGCACTAATTCACAATTCAAGTCAGCTTGTCAGTTTCCAAATGATCAAAGTATAGGATATTCAAAGAATCACCTTGTGACCATTCAAAAGCTTTATTATGCAATTTTTGTTGTTCTGCTAATTATATTAAAAATAAAATTTGATGGTGAAATTATTCTATGGTGATTCTGAAATTAAAACTTTTCTTATAACTTACACATCTGACTTTTATCACAAGATATCAGTAAATTGCTAGCATTCTCTTTTTACATCAAACTGAAACATTTCTTTTATTTTTAATGTTTTAGAAATTCTGGGAGCTCAAATGCATCAGTGATAGACAAGTTTGTTGCTTCATGATCTCTTGTAAAACTCCACTAACATTGATACATTTTTTGATTGGCTTATAAGACATTTTATAGGAGTGCTACTAATTTACCTTCTATAACACTCTTTTTAACACACCCCACTCTTGATTTAAATTTACTGAATTGTAAGATCAAGAGAGACTCGTTAAATAAGTGATAGAACCCACAGAACATTGTTAATTAAAATAAATTTCAGTCAAGTGTGTTCAAAAGAGTGTGTTAAAGTGTTTGTTACTAGCATTTTTCAACAATTTAATTTAAGAGATATAATGTTTTGCAATATGTATCTATTTGTATGCTGCATTATATATCATCAAAATATTAATGAAGTAACTTCTTTTCATATCATATTAGTTTTTCTTTTCCTTCTTGGACTGGCTTACATCAAATCAAACAGCATGCAAGAATCATACCATTATAACACATGCCCAGATTGAAGGAGAAATGAACAGATTTGCTTACCGGATAGACATTGTCAGTCAAGGTATCAAATAGTTTACTTATTCACCTCTAGCCTATTTTAGGACCTACTGTGACTTGCGACACATTATTATATTATATTTTCAAAGGCAAGTAGCAACTTGGTACTGAAGACCTTATAGTTAAAATAATAATGTATCTTATTGTTCATACCAATGCATTCACATGGAGCATCTGATGCTTATTATTGTTTAACTAAAGCACATTTACAAGTCACGGATGTCAGCTTTCAGAGCTTTGAAGGGCTAAAATTTAAAAATAACATCAGATGCTTCTTCCTATTAAGTACAACATTTAACAAATCATGTCAAGTTTGTTAGCATCCAAACCATTAAAATACAGGGCATTTCAAGAATGAACTTGTGACCTCTCACACTCTAAGAGATAATCCTACAATTGATCAAAAGACCTATTGGGCAGATTTTGTTGTTTGCTAATTATATTGAAAACTAAAAAATCAGTTTGGTGAAATTATTTTAGGGTGGATTATGAACTTAAAACATTTGCTTCTGACTTATTTATCTGACTTTACCAGATGACATTAGTAAATTGGTAGCATTCTATTTTTTACAAATTAAAACATTGGCTGTACTTTCAATGTTATTTCGCATGTCAATGGAGCTGAAATCCAACAATAACAAAGAAGTGTGTTGCTTCATAATCTCTTGAAAGAACTACATCAACATTAATACAATTAAAAATTTTATATCAAAGAAGTATATTGTTGCTGAATTACCGACTGAACCAAGCTGAATGGAGCAACTTCTGGGTGTCATACTAATTTTTCTTTTCCTTTTCTAACTGGCTTACATCAAATCAAAGTATCAAACAATGAATGATTTTATATGTAGGTAATCTGTGTTGTGAACTAAAAAATAAGATATTTGTTAATGTTACGTGTAATGGATTTGAATAAATTATTGGGTTCATTTACTTTCAGAATTTGATATTTTTGGGTGCAACCCATCATGGACAAAAATTCATAACCCCCTTCCTTATTCAAATTAAAATAACATAGTTATTTAGGAACATTACTTCTTTGTAGAATCTAGTGTCAAATGGCACACCTTCTGTTCATTTCATGGACGAAGGACAACTGCAAGTATTCTAATCTGGCTGAGATACAGTGCCTGTCTTTGTGCTTAGTCAGAGACAAAACACACAAGAGGACAATACTAGCACATAAAATACCTGAAAATTAAAAAATAGGGGCATTCCGAGAATTGAACTCGGGACCTCTCGCACCCTAAGCGAGAATCATGCCACTAGACCAAATGCCCACATTGAAAACATGAGGGCAGAGTCAATTATATGTCTAGATTGTTGAAATTGTTCATGTATGCAACATACTCTTCAATCCTATAGTAAGATTGCATACAAATGACCAGATTTGCTTACCTGGATAGGAAATTGTAAATGAAGGTCACTTGTTTTTCTAGTCAAAGGTATCAAAGGGAGATTACTTATGTACCCCTCTGACTTTATACTTCAAGACCAACTCTGACTTGCAACATATTATTTTTTACTGCACTTTCAGTGGCAAGTTGTCACTTGGTACTGAAAGACTTACAACAGAAATTGTTAATGTATAAATTTATTCATCCAATGCACACACATGCAAACTCTGACACTAATTATTATTTAATTAAACAGACTAACAAGACAAGCTTGTCAGCTTCAAATGGATAAAATTTATAAATGATACTCAAAGCTTGATGGAATGTAAGGATTGTCAGCACCCAAATCATAAAAAAAAGGCATTCACATATGAACTTGGAACCTTACCCAACATAAGCAAAAATCAATTTCATATGGCTAGATCAAATGCCTTATTATGCAAATTTTGTTGTTTGATAATTATATTGAAAACTAATAAATCAATTTGGTAAACTTATTTAATGGTAGATCTGAAGTTAAAAGTTTGATTCTAACTTTTACATTTGACTTGTATCATGTGACACCTCTTAAATGTTAGCATTCTCTTTTTCACCACAAGTTGACATCCTACTTGTAATTGTTTCATTTTCATTGATGAACCAGTGGTTGATAAGTTTATTGGTTTCAGCATCTCTTTTGAAAACTCCACCAACATTGATACAATTGGAGATTGTCTTATTAAACATTTAAATCAAATAACTGAAACTTTGCAACTTGTATATGTGTGTATGTTGCATACCGGGCTGATTGAAATAATTTTGTTTGGTTGCAAACTACTTTTTCATTTCCTTTTCTGACCAGCTTACATAAAAATATAAAATCATGGACACAAATAAATGCTTGTGCTTATACATTTTCTTTTGTAAGATTGATATCTTTGGGTGCTAGCTAGGCCTCATGAACATAGTTAATTTAGCAATATTACTTCATTGTCGAATGTAAAGTTCAAATGGTGAACTTGAGACTTAAGATCACATACCACAATCTCAGTTGTGACTGGTCCTTGCAAACCAGTGGAGAGATCAGAAATCAAAGCTACTTGTAACTTCAAAGTGCCTCTTGCAAAGCTATCTTGGTGCTCGACTGCATCGCACCCAAAGAGAGAATCATAGCACTAGACCAAATGCCCAAATTAAGGGTGAGGGCTAAGTCGAATCTATGGTAAGGTTGCATACAAATGACCAGATTCCTTATCTAGATGGGAAATTGTTAGTCAAGATAACTTTCTAGTCAAGGTATCAGAAAGAATTCGCTTATATACCCCTCCAGTTATATATTTTAAAGAACTCCAACTTGCAACAAATTATTTTATTACATTTTCAGTGGCAAGTTATCATTTAGTACTGAAAAAATTCCAACCGAAACTGTTTATGTACCCCCATCATTCACCCCAATGCATTCACATTCAGCCTGATGCTTATATTTTCAGTAAACAAACTAACAAGTCAAGCTTGTCAGTTTCCAGAGCTTCAAAAAGTTAAAATATATAATATTACCTGATGGTAGTTGGTATTTAAGAACAATAATTAACTAGTTAAGTCAAGCTTGTAAGATTCCAAATCAACAATATATGGAGCACTCCAAGAATGAACTTGAGACCTCTAATACCCTAAGTGAGAATCATATGGCAAGGCAAAAGCCCACCTATGCCAATAATTTTGTCTTCAGATTGTATTTATATTAAAAACTAATAAACTGATTTGGTGAAATTATTTTAGGATAGATTCTGATGTTAGCACTTTCCTTTGATCTTGTACATCTAACTTTTTAAGAGTAAATTTGTAGTATTCTCTTTTTTATGGCAAGTTTAAAGCATTGAACTACTTCTAGTGTTGCACAGGTTTGAAATCCTTTAGTAATGGAGAACTTTGTTGTCGCTTCACTATCTCTTGCAAGATGTAACCAAACTTGATAGTGTTTTTGATTGGCATATAAAGCCTTTAAAACCAGAGAACTATAGATTAGTAATATGCATCAGTTTGTATGTTGTATTACTGACTGAAAAAAATGTAGTGTTGAAGGTCTCATATCAGCTAGAGATACAACCAAATTATAACATATAATTGAAATGCAAACTTCACCTTACAAGTTAGTTTTGTAGGGTTTACAAATTAGTTTTGTAGGGTTGAGTTAAACACCTATCAATCTCTAATATGGCATCAAAACTTATCCTAACAAGGTTTGTTTGCCTATCACTTCACCCATTATCAGGTCGTTATTGGACCACCCATAAAATTTGAGTTTCATGCTCCCAAAATATCCATTTTTGGCATGAAAGAATGTGTTAAAGATCTCACATCGACTAGAGATATAACCAAATTATAGTATATAAGTGAGATACAAATCTTACCTTATTAATCAATTTTGTAAGTTAGATATTTATTCATTATTAACATAATATAAGAGTCTATCCTAACGAAATTTATTAGCCTGTCACTCTACCCATTATCGAGCCACTATCGGCCCACTCTTAAATATTCAATGACTCATTCTCGGGATGTCAATTCCTCGACGTATTGGAGATCTCACATTGACTAGCAATATGGCCAAATTATAATATATAACTAAAGTGCAAACTTCACCTTACAAGTCGGTCGCATAGGGTTGATTTATGCATCTATCCATTTCTAATGAGCTGAATTAAGTAACTTATGTTGTACCAAAATAGTTTTTCTATTCGTTCTGTGAATGGTTACATCAAATCAAGCAGCATGTGATTTGATATGTAAGTAATCACATATTCCATTAGAGTGTTTTAATGTAAAGTTTAAAAATAATATATATTTTATTACATGTGTTCATGATTTGTGTGGCAGATATCACGGACAACAATTACCAACCTCCTTCCTTCTTCATATGTTCAACTTGAAATAACATAGTTGATTAACAAATATTTTTAGTTCATTGTAGAATATAGAGTTCATATGGCATACTTAAGATCAAATACCACAATCTCATAGCTGTGACTGTGCTTGCTAACCTGTGGAGAGATAGGGAAATCAAACCTAAGGATTATACTGCCAGAAAGTTAAGACAGTGATTTGCATCTTCTCCTGTTCTTTTGATAGAAAGGAACTGCAAGTATTCTATCCTTTCTGAGAATGCAGTGCTTATCTTTGTGCCTATTCAATGACAAATGCACATAAAGATAATTCAGAAAAAGATAGATATGTGAAGAAAAAAAAAAAAAGGGGCATTCCGAGAATTGAACTCGGGACCTCTCGCACCCTAAGCGAGAATCATACCACTAGACCAAATGCCCAGATTGGGAGACTTAGGGCAAAGTCAAATTTATGTCAGTGTTCTGTTAAGATTGTTTACGCAAGCGATAATCTCTTCAGTTCTGTAATAAGGTGCATAGAAATGACCAGATTTGCTTACCTGGATAGGCAATTGTAAGTCAACCTGTTTTTCTAGTCAAGGTATCAAAGTGAATTTACCACTCTGGTTATATGTATATACTTTTCTCTCTACAGACATCCTGTTTTTGTAGACTGATGTTCACTGCACTGTGGAGCATTAAATGTGTGAGCACCTCTACTAATTTAGATTCTATAGATGACCGAGCCTGTACCATTGTCTCTAGTTTATATTTTAATCATCACTTACGACTTACAACATATTATTGTATTACATTTCCAGATAAAAACTGGTAATGTATAATGTATCAATTCATTCATTCCAACGCAATCACATGCAACCTCTGATGTTTATTATTATTTAACTAAACGAACTAACAAGTCAAATTTGTCAACTTCCTGAACTTGATAAAAGCTAAAATTTAGAAATCAAACCTGATGCTTGTTTGTTGTTATTTATCTGCAGTAAACACCAAGCCAATCTCGTCGGCCTCCAAATCGTCAAAAACAGAGTATTCGGAGAATGAAGTTGGAACCTCTCGCGCCACAAGTACGAATCATCTAGACCTAACTCTCGTTTCTTACTTTTCACTCTTCTTCTCCTCAACTGACTGGGAAAGCTAATTGAGAAGGTTTTTGAGAAGTTTGTGCACAGCTGTCTCACTTTAAATAGTGGATAGCTAATTTGTTTTACTTTTATATCAGATTTTGTGTTACCATCTAGTCTTTAAAATTTTGAATAATTCCAATTTTAATCTTTAAATTTTTAAATACTTATTTTAATTTTTTAAATTATAAAAATATAATTTTAATTCTTAAATAATGAATTTGATCAACTGAAATCATTTTTTAAAATTAGTTTTAATTTTTTTAATTTCATATTTAGAAGCTATACTTATTTTTTACTAAATTTGAAAGATTAATTTTTTAAAATTTAAAAGAATAAAATATATATTTAAGAACTAAAAACATAATTAAATTTATATTATAACTTTCTTTAATATTTATTTTAAGTATTTATTAGAATAAAATACTTTCTGAACATGTTCACAAAATTAACTTTTTGTTATTTTACTTATTATTTTAATGAAGCATTTATTCTTTTATTTAAAACTTTGTTAGACAAGTATAAAAATTGTGTTAAATTACAATATTATCAGATAATGATTTGGGTAGTATTTTACAATTTAAGAATGATTATTATATCAAAATATTTTTACAGTAAATCAGATAAGCATATATCGTTATTATTTCGATTGAAGTATTTATTTTTTTATTTTCTTAAAAACTTTGTTAGACAAGTATAAGAACTGCATTAAATTACAATATTATCATAATAGATGATGATTTGTGTAGTGTTTAATAGATTAAGAATGATTATTATATCAAAAATATTTTTTTTACAGTGATCAGATAAGTGATATATGGAAAGGTCAAAGTTAAACAATAAATATATATATATATATATATATATATATATATATATATATATATAACTTATAACTTAATATTTTAATATTTTTTAATTAAAGATAATATTTATTTTTTATGTGAATAGGTTCATATCTTATTGATATATTTTTTTTAATAAATTTTCGTAGAAAAATTTAATTGGCTCGGTGTAAAAATATATATGTTGTTAGTCATATTAAAAATATCCAACTGATTTCAAATAATTTAAAGAGAATGAAAGAATTTCATCTTTAATAAGACTAAATTTATTTAAGTCACATTTTTTCTCTTTATTAAAGGTAACATAAAATTCATCTATAATACTTAAAAAAGACGTGGAAGGTATTATTTTGATGAATTTTTAATTAAATCAATAAAAAATATCTTTCTGTTTAGTTTTAGTTTTGCTGAGTAACAAAAATACTATAATTTTATACATATTTTCTAACAAAAACCAATCTAACAAGTCAGGCTTGTAGGCTTGTAAAACGTAAGGCATTTGGAGAGTCATACCATTCGACCAAAACCTTATTATATGCAAATACTGTAGTTTGCTAGTTATTATAGAAACTAATAAATTGATTTGGCAAAATCGTTTAGAGTGGATTCTGAAGATGAAACTTCGCTTCTAACTTTTACAGCTGACTTTTACCACACCATATCGGTAAAATTTGGTGGCGGCTCTTTTTTATCACAGACTGATCCATAGTAAAAATACTAATGGTGTTATACTAGTTTTCGTTTTCCCTTTCCCCACTAGCTAAAATAATATCAAAGATCATATAACGTAGAACATCACATAAGTAGTGTAAATTATAAAATAAGATCTTAATAATCTAATGGATTTTATTCCAATAAATTCAAAATTTTATCATACTTAGAAAGTCAAATCCAAAAATAATTTATATATATTATATCTTCTCTATCATAATGATTTTGAAAAAGAGATGTGAGAAAATATTAAATAATTTTTATATATTATCTTCTCTTATTTTATAATAATAACTTTTAAAAAAAATCATAATTTTTTTTTCAATAAAGAACTCTTGTTGATTTTTTTTTCCAGTAAAATTTTTTTTAATAAATTTTAAAGAATTTATTATCTATTCTATTTTTTTATTTTTTTATTTAAAATTTCTTTAATAAAAAATTATTTCAAATAAATAATATTTTATTTAAGTATCTTAATTAATAACTCTTGATTAAATACTTTATCAAAATGATCTTCAAAATAGACAATTACTAAAATGCCGAAATTGACCCTTATCATATTTTCTTAATGAATCAAAATATTTTACCTTATGTAAAAAGATTTTAAGTCATTCCTATGCTTTAATCCTTAACGGACACATATTTTGACATCGAATCTTATGCTAAATTATATATACATTTTTTTTTTCTAAACCCAACCGATGAAGTCAGACTCAAGCTTTAAGGGACTTGAAATCAAAACAAATTTGATTACTTTAAATAAATAACAATTCGTTTATTAAGATTTTTATCATTTTGGGTGCGAGGCATCATGGAAACAATTCACAATCTCCTTCCTTACTCAATTTAAAATATCATAATTGATTTAGCAATATAACTTAATCGCAGAATCTAGAGTTCAAATGACATACTTGGACATAAAGATCACAAACCACAATCTTAGTGTTGGGACTGATGCTTGCAAACTTGTGAGAGAGATACGCAAATCAAAGCAGCTAGCTTAGTGCCTCATGCCAACCAGTCTTGGCTCTCAACTGCTAATACTAATACAACCAGATTGTCAAAACTGTGATTTACATCTCCTGTTCTTTTGGTGGAAGAAAGGAAACTGTAAGTATTCTAATCTGGATGAGAATCCAGTGCTTTTCTTTGTGCCAAGTCAATGACAAAATATGCACGAGGACAACAAAGACAGATAAATTTGAAAGAATTGGGGCATTCCGGGAATCTTACCACTGGACCAAATGTTGGGTATTCTTTGTTATCACCAAAGGCCCTCATTGAAGGTATGGCCAAGTCAAAGCTGTATCTAGTTTTCTGTTAAAATTGTTAGTGCATGTCAATTCTCAGCAGTTTTATGTAAACTTGCATATAAATTATCAGATACGGTCAAGGTTATTTGTTTTTCTAGTCAAGATATCAAAGACAATTTATTTATTTGTTAGGTAATTCAAATTTGATCCCAAGTTTCATATTGAGTAAAAATAAAAAAGTTGAACATTATAAAAAAAAATATGACCCATGACTTGACCCATGACTTGAGAGTGATATTAATTATTTAGGTGGATTCAACTCGTGTCTTTATTGGTGTTGGGTGAATCTCATCGAAAAACACAACATTATTTACCATCTACCTTTTTACCTAAAGGTCAACAATGATTTCAGACCCAATACTCTATATCATTTTTAGTTTCAAGCTGTAACATAGTACTGAGAAGTAACCAGCAGACCCAATACCTATTCATTCTAAGGCATTCAAAAGCAGCCTAGGTTGCTTAATATTATTTAAATAAACAAACTAGAATGACAAGCTTGTTAGCTTCCAAAGCTTTTAAGAAGAAAATATTAAGAAATGAACCTAAAGCTTGTTGTTGGCTAATTATATAAAAACTTATAAATTAATTAGGAGAAACTATTTTAAGGTAGATTCTGCAGTTATCGGACTTCCACCACATGATGCAGCATTCTCTTTTCCACATGTTGAAACATTAGTTTTACTTCTAATGTTTTTTATTTTTCCAAAGTTAGTAGGGCTGAAATTCATCAGTGGTGAAATTGTTGCTTCTTGATGTTTAAAAGTACTCCGGAAACATAGCACAGTTGTTGATTGGCTTATACAACATTTTAAATCAAAAGCTGAAGTTTTGCCATGTGTCTGCTTATATGTTGAATTAGAGTCTGGATTAAGCTGATTCAAGTAATTTCTTTTCTTGTCATACTAGTTTTGCTTTTCCTTTTCGGACTGACTAACATAATATCAGACAGCATGTGATTTGATATGTAGGTTATCACATATCACATCTGACATCTGACTGTTGTATATAAAATAAGATAATTACTAATGGAACATGTGTAACGGACAATAAATAATTGTGCAATTTGTGCTAGTATATTTATTTAAAATTGATATTTTTGGGTGCTAGGTGTTGAATATAGGGAAAAATTGTATAGGGTTAATTTCCCTTATGTATTTACCACACATAGGGCAGTGTATTTATAATAAAGAAAGGTACTCCTCGAAAGAGTAACAGAATACAAATAGGGTAAATAAAAAGATATTATTTGATATTGTGATTAACAATATCTAACAATATCTCAACAATATAAAACAATATCAACTAATATCTAATCATATCTAACACTCCCCCTCAAGCTGGAGCATACAAATCGTATGTGCCTAGCTTGATACAAAGATAATCCATCCTAGGTCCCCGTAAAGACTTAGTGAAAATATCTGCTAATTGATCACATGAGTTAACGAACTCAGTCTTGATGTCTCCAGACATAATCTTTTCCCGAATAAAATGGCAGTTAATCTCAATGTGTTTAGTCCTCTCATGAAAGACAGGATTAGAGCTTATATGGAGAGCAGCCTGATTGTCACACACTAGTGTCATTTGAGTGACATCTCCAAATTGTAGCTCTTTAAGCAATTGCTTGAGCCAAATAAGTTCACAGGTAGGCTGAGGCCATAGCTCTATACTCGCTTCTGCACTTGGATCTTGCCACAACACTTTGTTTCTTACTTTTCCATGAGATCAAGTTACCACCAATGGAAACACAATACCCGGATGTAGATCTTCTATCGAGAGGGAGATCCTGCCCAATTAGCATCCGAATAGCAGACAACTCTTGTATGATTATGGGAGTCATACACCAAACCTTTTCCAGGAGACTTTTTGATGTACTTCAATATACGGACGATCGCATTCCAATGATCTTGACAAGGAGAATTGAGGAATTGACTCACCACACTGACTCGCAAAGGAAATGTCGTGGCGAGTAACTATAAGATAATTTAATTTTCTAACTAATCTTCTATACTTGTTCGAGGATCCGACATTGGCTCCCCCTGTTTTGGCAAGAGTTTGGTATTAGGATCCATGGGTGTGTCAACGAGCTTTGAATTCATCAACCCAGTTTCCTTCAAAATATCCAATGCATACTTTCTTTGAGATATAACAATGTCATCGGTAGATTGTGCTACCTCAATACCCAATAAATATCTGAGTTTGCCAAGATCTTTGGTTTGAAAATGGTGGCAAAGGTGTTGTTTCATCCGAGAGATGCCATGATGGTCACTACCTGTAAGAACAATGTCATCGACATACACTATCAAATAGATACATCCAGACATTCGAGTGATCGGTAAAAGACCGAGTGGTCTCGCCTCACTTCTAGTCATGCCAAATTGTTGAACAACGCTGCTAAATTTTTCAAACCAGGCCCTAGGAGACTGTTTTAGGCCATATAAAGATTTGCAAAGACGACATACCAATCCGAGAAGACTCCCCGAGCAACAAATCCGGAGGTTGCTCCATATAAATCTCTTCTTGCAAATCGCCATTCAAGAAAGCATTTTTGACATCCGAGTTGATAAAGAGGCCATTGTTGAATAGCAGTCATGACAATGAATAAACGAACGAAGCCATCTTTGCCATCTGGAGAGAAAGTATCACCATAATCCAACCCAAAAATTTGGGTATAGCCTTTGGCTACAAGGCGAGCTTTGAGGCGATCAATAGTACCATCGGGACCAACCTTGATAGCGAAGACCCACCTGCAACCAACAACAGATTTTCCGGATGGTAATGGGACAAGCGTCCAGGTTCCACTAGTCTCGAAGAGCACCGAGTTCATCTAGCATGGCCTGACGCCAACCAGGGTGGGCTAAGGCTTCGAGAGACAGATTTAGGAATAGACACAGAAGAAATAGACGAGAGACAGGTATAAAATGGTGAAGAAATTCGATGATAACTTAAAGCAGTATAATGTGGAGAAAGATTACGAGTAGAACGCGTACCTTTACGAAGGGCAATAGGAAGGTCAGACTCTGTGGACGGAACCGGAGGAGGCAGAGTATTTGGCACTAGGAGTGAGTCATGTGGCGTCTGTTGTGGGCGAGGTCTGCGACTATAAACCTGAAGGGGTGGTGGAGGAGAAGGGGCTAATGGTGGATGGTCCTCAACATAAGGATCAATGAGAACAGGAATGAGAACTGTAGCAGATGGAGACTCAGCAGGTAGGGAAGAGTCCTTAAAGTAAAAGGAAAACTCATTGAAGGTGACATCGGCAGACATAAAATAGCGATTAAGAGAAGGAGAAAAACACTTGTATCCTTTTTGGGATCGAGTAAATCCTAAGAAAACACATTTGTGTGATCGAGGAGATAACTTATCATGACCAGGATCAAAATTGTGGACAAAACAGGTAGACCCAAAAACCTTCAGAGGTAAAGGATGGAGAGTGTCATGAGGAAATAAAATAGAATGGGGAATTTTGTTATCTAAAACCGAAGAGGGCATACGATTAATAAGATAACGAGCGAAGAAACAGACATCACCCCAAAAATGTTGAGGAACCTCACCATGAATTAAAAGAGTACGGGTTGTTTCAATAAGGTGTCTATTCTTGCGCTCAACCACCCCATTTTGTTGAGGGGTATAAGCACAGGAAGTTTGATGAAGAATGCCATGAGAAGCCATAAATTGTTTAAACGAGTTTGAAAGATATTCACGGCCATTATCACTTCGAAAAGTTTGAATAGAGACACCAAATTAATTTTTAATTTCATGATAAAAGTTTTGGAATATAGAAAACAACTCGAACGATTTTTCATTAAAAATAACCAAGTACAACGAGAGAAATCATCAATAAAAGTAACAAAATATTGAAAACCTAAATTAGACTTAACACGACTGGGTCCCCAAATGTCGAGTGAACTAAGGCAAAGGGGGATGAAGCACGCTGGGAAACACTACGAGAAAAGGAAGTACGACTATGTTTGCCTAACCGACAGGATTCACACACCAAATTGGACAACTCGGGATAAGCTGGGAACAAGTTGCTGTAATTTGCGCAGACTCGGAGTGACCAAGCTGAGCATGAAGGAGAGAAGGAGACTCCATAACCGTGCCAACATGTGGAGAAGGTTGAAGATAATAAAGTCCATGTGACTCACATCCGGTGCCAATCACTCTTTGCGAGCTCTGGTCCTGTAGGGAAACGAAGTTTTGGTAAAAGAGATAACACAATCAAGAGATCGAGTTAGACGACTAATGGATAATAAGTTAAAGGGGGACCCGGGTACATACAAAACATTATCAATGGACAACGAGGGAAAAAGAGTAACCGTTCCAACACCATGAGCTAAAGTTGTAGACCCATTAGCCATTGTAACGAGAGGGTAAATTATGAGAAGAAGTGAAAGAGGAAAATAAGGATTTGTTACCGAGTGATGTGATCGGTGGCGCCGAGTCAAGAACCCAAGGGCCAATAGAAGAAGAGTGAGTCGGACCAAGCAAAAGATGTACCTGTGTGGGCAACGAAGTAGTGGAACTGGAGGGCTTTCGATCCTCATACCATTGAAGAAAATCATTGAAGATAGCAGATTTGTCCGAAGGTACAGACGAAGGAGGATCCACAGCAGAGGATTGTGCGGAAGAATCGGTCCGAGCAACTGCAGCGAGATCGGCGAGGATAACCATGTAAAGCATAACATTTGTCAATTTTGTGGCCTAGTTTGCCACAATGGTCACACTTGACACGCCCTTTGCCTGGCTTGTGAGAGCGATTACGATCATCACGGTGAGAGGCCAAGGCAGATGAATCATTAGAAACTACAAGGGGAATATTGAGAGGTTTACATGGCACCCGCAAAAGGGAGGAACTGGTAGCGGTAAAGCTGGGTGTAACAGGGGAACCCAAAATCCGGTCACGAACAGGGCATATTTATCGGCAAGTCCGTGTAACATCAAAACCATGAAAAACTTTGATCGTTGCTCTAATTCTTGGGCAGGAGTCGAGGCAGGGGGTAATAACTCATTAAATTCATGGAGAAGAGCATGGATCTTACCCACATAATCCGCCACAGGATCCTTATCTCGAGGAGCAATAACATCAAGAAGATTGTAACAAACACCATAAAGACGTTGAGTGTCATTGGTGTATAATAATTTGGCTTGTTCCCAAACGTCATAACATGTGCCATACGATCGAAAAATTTGTTTTAAAGAAGATTGGATGGTATTCTTGAGAACCATACATATATGAGCATCAACTTTCTTCCAACGGACACGATCATTGGAAGGAACATCATCTACCTTGGTAGTAAGATGATCAACATACCCACGACTCTCAAGCCAAAGTCTAATATCGGATGCCCAAGTTGCATAATTCGTACCATCTAATTTATCAATGGGTAAATTCACATTGACATAATTAGTAAAAACAGATTGCTCAGACCCACCGGAGCTGACAGAGGTAACTTCAGAATTGGAAGTGGCAGCGGAAGATGCCATGGAGGAAGAGAGAGAAAAACCCTAAAACACCAAAGAGGTCCGATTGGAGCAGCGAGGACAGATCCAGAGAGAGGAGAAGGAGGCGACGCCGGCGCAAAGATCGGCGGCCTGAACTGCGGCGAGACGCGCCGCCACGCGCGGCGGAACGGGAGAAGGTGGCGCGGCTTCGGGAGGCGCGTGAGGGAGCGTGGCTGCTCCGATGACCGCGAAGCTTCCACGGTGGAGGTCGCACGGAGGAGGCGAGCAAAACCCTATGCTCGGCGACGACGACGGCGGCGGCGGCGGATGGTGGTGGCGACGATGGAGGCGGCGACAGCTGCAGGTTTAGTGGCCGAGCCGAAAAAAATCCCAAGAGACCTTAAGCTCTTGATACCATGTTGAATATAGGGAAAAACTGTATAGGGTTAATTTCCCTTATGTATTTACCACACATAGGGCAGTGTATTTATAATAAAGAAAGGTACTCCTCAAAAGAGTAACAGAATACAAATAGGGTAAATAAAAAGATATTATTTGATATTGTGATTAACAATATCTAACAATATCTCAACAATATAAAACAATATCAACTAATATCTAATCATATCTAACACTAGGCATTACGTGGTATAATAAAACAATTCACAATCTCCTTCCTTATTCAAATTAAATTATATAGTAAATTTAGCAAATATTACTTCATTGTAGAATGCTAAGTTCAAATGTTTTACGTGAGACATAAGATCACATACCACAATCTCGGTGTTGTGACTGATGCTTACAAACTAGAGGTGAGATACAGAAATCTAAGTAACTTCCATCTGCCTCTTGGGAAGATGTCTTTGTGCTTAACTGTAAAGGCTAATACAGCCTGATTGTTAAGACTTATTGACATCTTCTCCTATTCTTTTGATGGAAGAAACAGAACTGCAAGTATTCTTTCCTGGCTGACAGGCTGAGAATGCACTGCATGTCTTTGTCCTAAGACAATGAAGAACAAAAAAATAAACAGGCACAGGTAAATCTTCTCCTATTCTTTTGATGGAAGAAACAGAACTGCGAGTATTCTTTCCTGGCTGACAGGCTGAGAATGCACTGCATGTCTTTGTCCTAAGACAATGAAGAACAAAAAAATAAACAGGCACAGGTAAATTTAAAAAGAAATAGGGGCATTCCGAGAATCGAACTCGGGACCTCTCGCACCCAAAGCGAGAATCATACCACTAGACCAAATGCCCACGTTGAAGAAGAAAGCCAAGTTCAATATTTGTGTAATAGTTTGGGAATATTGTTTATTTATGCCACATTGTATGCAGTTCTACATTAAGATTGCTTATAAATGGTAAGATTTGCTTACCTGGATGCGGAATAGTCAATCAAGATAACTTGCTTTCCTAGTCAAGGTATCAAAGAGAATTGCTTACCCCTTTGGTTTTATATTTAAAGACATCCTATGGCATGCCATATAATTTTATCGGACTTTCAGTGGCAAGTTGTCACTTATTGCAGCACATTCTATGACAAAAATTTTAATCTATCTCGTCATTCTTCCCAGCACATTCACATTTAGCCCTCTTATGCTTATTGTTTTGAAAGTTAACAAACTAACAAGTCAAGCTTGTCAGCTTCCAGAAATCAAAAGATTGAAATTTAGAAGTAATGTTAGAAGCAAGTGGATTTAAAAGCAAGGATTATCAGGTTAAGTCAAGCTTGAAAGATTCCAAATAAACAAAACACGGGGCATTCCAATACAGAATTTGGGTTACTTATCTCACATCCTAAATGAGAATAAGACAACGAGCAAAAACCTTACATGCAAATCTTGTTGTTTATAATTTAAATAATAAATTGATTTTGTGAAATGATCTTAGGGTGGATTCTGAAGTTAAAACATTTACTTTTAACTTGTGTGTTTAGTTTTACCATCTGACATCATCAGTAAGTTGGTACAATTGTCTTTTATAACCACAAATTGAAACATCAATTTAATTCTTAATACTAACATTGTCTATAAGTAGAATGGTCTGAAATCAATTAACAATCAGAGAATTTTGTTGATTCATGATATTCCCAAAATCAAATAAAAACTATCCAAAATATCAAAATATTCCAACTGACTCCTAATTATCTTCTCATTATCTTTTTATTTCAACTAACTTCTAATTATCTTCTCATTATCTTTTTATTTCAACATACTCTTAAAACTGACTTTAATTTTATTCAACAAAATCCAACAATTGATCCAGTTGTTGATCAACTTATAGAACTTCTGAAACCAAAGAACTGAAGTTTTGCACTATATATCAGTTTCTATGTTACATACAGTCTGAACCAAGGTCAATGAAGAAAGTTATGTTGGTGTCATACTAGTTTTTCTTTTTCCTTTATTGAGTAGCTTACACCAATCCATCACCACATGATTTGACATGTAGATAATCAGTATATTCCATCTAACTACTGTAAAATGTAAAAAGACATAGTTTCTAATTCAATGTGCAATGGATATAAATACATCATTGTGTTCATACATTTGTTTATAAGAATTTGAAATCTTTTGGTGCCAGGCATCATTAACAACAATTCACAATCTCTTTCCTTATTCAGTTATTCAATTTGAAATAACATAGTTGATTAAGCATTATCTTAATCCATTGTAGAATATAGACTTAAAATGGTGCATACTTAGAAAAGGATCACATATGACAATGCTTGCTAATATATGGCGAGGTAGGTAAATCAAAACAACTGGTAAGTGTCTTGGAGCTTAACTCTTAAAGACAGATCAACAGTAAAGGATAATACAACAACACTGATTGTTAAGATTGTGATTAACCTGTTCCTTTGGAAGAAAGGCAACTGTGCAAGTAGTCTACCCTGTCTGAGAATGCAGTGGTTGTCTTTGTACCTACTCAATGACAAAACGAGAAAAGGACAATTCAGGCAAAGATAATTACATAAAAGAAATGGGGCATTCCGAGAATTGAACTCGGGACCTCTCGCACCCTAAGCGAGAATCATACCACTAGACCAAATGCCCAGATTGAGAGTTTTAGGGCAAAGTAAAATTTGTCAGTGTTTGTTAAAATGATTTATACATGCCACATTCTCCTCGCTTGTAAGATTGCACACAAATGACCAGATTTGCTTAACTGGATAAGCAATTGTAAGTCAGGGTAACCTTTTTTTCTAATCAAGGTTCTAAGTGAGTTTACTAATTTACCAATCTGGTTTTTCTATGTATATACTTTTCTCCCTACAGATATCTTGATTTTAAATGCCTGTACCTAATTTAGATTCTTAACCTGGTTTTCTTTGCAACCGGACCTGTACCATCATTGTCTCTGGTTAAATATTTTAATTATCATCTATGACTCAACACATTAGTGTGTTAATTTTTCAGCGGCAAGCAGTTAATGTATCAAGTCATTCATCTCAACACAATCACATGCAACCTCTGATGTTTATTATTATTAAACTACAATAACTCACAAGTTAAGTTTGTCAACTGTCAGAACTTAAAAAGATTAGAAATAGAAATCAAACCTGATTTGTTGGTTGACATTTAACTACAGCAGCTACCAAGTCAAGTCAAGCTTGTCAACTACCAAATCATAAAAAAAAAAAACAAATCGGAGAACAAACTTGGAACCTCTCGCACCCTTAATACGAATCATCTAACAAATCATTCGTCTCTTGTTTCTCACTTTTCTTCTCCTGAAAAGGGAACCTGACCTAACCTAATCACTTTTTAATTTAAAATATAAGGAAGAAACAATGAGAGGATATTTTTTTTTTTTTACACTTATCAGTAATTACCAAATAAAATAAATTGTAAATTCATACTTACAAATGATTAAAAAGTATAACATATATTAAAAAAAAAATCCACTGATTTAAAATAGTATAATATTATATTATATATATATATATATATATAAAATATAATATAATATAATATAGGTATAAGGAATCTCTATTAATTAGTTTAATTTTATCATAGTGCAAGTAAAAAAATTAATAAATCGGTTTGATTATTTTTTAAAATAAATTATAATTTTTTTTCTTCTTACATTTTCATTATTAAAATAAATCTAATTTTATTTTTATATTTATCTTTATTTTTTTTTAAGTGTTTATTTTTTGTTTTTAAATCTCAAATGCTTGATTTTTAAATCTAAATTTTTCATTCAATTATTATTATCATGTTATTTTAAGAAATACATAAGAATCTTATACTGTTTTTAATTTATATTATTTTTTATTAGAAGATAGTAGGTTCAAATTAAGATTTTTGAATATGATTTACCAAAAATACATTCTAAAAAGGTGAGTTTTAAATACATTCGTAGATTTGATTTTCTAGAAATACATTCTAAATTGATGGATCTAAAATACACTTTCAGGATCCAAACCAAGTATTTTAGACCCACCAAACTGGAATATATTTCCAAAAAATCAAATCTAGTAGTGTATTTCGAACTTATCATTCTAAAATATATTTCCAGAAAATAAAATTTGGAAATCTTTTTCAGAATCAACCATTTTGGAAAGTGTTTTGAAAAATCAAAGCTAAAAATTATTTATGAATCCCCCACTATGTGACTATGTTCGAAAAACAATGTGAGATTCCAAATTGATTATTTTTTAATTTCTTGTTTAGATGCAAAGAAATATTTTTTAAATAATAATATATAAGATGAAATAGACATATTAATGAGATTAGATAACATAATGAAGCACATTCCTGATAAATTAGTTTATTGTACTTAGGCATTCATAAAGGATAAGTAAAATTTTAGTTATATATTAATGTCATGACTTATAAATTTCAAATAAAGTGATTTTATATCTATTGTTATAAATATTTGCTATAGGAGATAATTTTGCTAAAATTGGTTTGAGAGTTGAATTTGTAGTTGTTATACTTAGGTTGGATAAAACAAATGGTCATTAAGGAAACAAATGGTCATTAAGGAAGAAAGACAAATGTATTGTTAGATTTTGAAAGAGGTGATAAATAAAAGAAATACAAAAGAGATTTGTAGTTAATTATTACAAGAAGTAAAAAATGTGAGTGTCCAATTAAACTATAGGAAAAATCTAGGATGAATTCTGAAAGCAGTTTATGGAAGTCATAATCATAACTAGTTGATACATTGGTAAGTCACTCATATCCTGGTAGATTAACAAGTAATGAAAAGTTCATACTAGTTAATATGACAAAAAGTTTGGTCAAGGCTAAAAATATTCTGCTTACCTTGAATGAGAAGAATGAAAAAATTGTCATGAATGTAAAACAAGTATATAATGTAAGATACACATATGGTAAAAGTTTAAGAGGTCATAAAACTGAATTGCAACATCTAATAAGTTATTGAAATAAGACAAGTATATTCATTAACATTTATTTAATGAGACTATAAATATTATAACAAAAAATTTTGAAACACACCCTAATTCTATCAAATTATTAAATGCATTTAACTTAGTATAGATGATGGATAACACTTATAGGAAAGATTATACTTATTTGAGATTATTGGTATAACATTCACAAGAATGATGTTCTTTGTTATATTTATCTTATTAGGTATTGAACATAAAAAGAACTTTATTTGGACTTTTGAAATATTTAGAGGATTATTTTTAAAAATTAGATTTGCTTCCTTGGATACTAGTTTGTCACACGAATTTGGTGTTAATGAATACAATTAACACTAAAGGAGTTCTTAATATTAAAATAGAATAATTAACATAATTCAAATATATTGTTAATATAATCCAACAAAGATTAATGCAATAATCACATACAAACAATAATAATCTCTACGATAATATAAAAAATAATAAGATAATATTATATATATATATATATATATATATATATATATATATATACTATAAATACCATAATATTTTTATGATATTTTTAATATATTGTAAATTATATAATTTTATACACTATTGAAAATGATTTATTATTATACGCATTTAAAAATTATTAATAAGTTTATATATTCTTGATAATTATAATTTAAAAGATAGACCTAATTCTATTATTTGAAACACTACTTCATTTTTTATGTATATATTATCTTAATTTATGCTTATCAATATTTTAAAAACAGAATAAATATATAAAATATCAATATTGTAGGCTTAATATATTTTTGGACCCTAAATATAAATATTTCATCAACTGGAAACATATTTAATATTAATAAATGTATTATTATTAGTAGCAGTATATTATTATTGTTGTTACTGTTACTATTATTATTATTATTATTATTATTATTAAGTCAATTTATTTTGAAGGAATATAATATATTTAGTACATTCATTTAATATAACATTTACTGTATATATTTAGTGCTAAATTAATAAATACTTAACAGTTATTAATAAAGTAATTTATATTCATTAACTAATATCATAGTAAATTTTTAAATTAGTAAATAAATCATAGTTATAAATATATTATGATGCTGACGAAGGTAGAAATACAAGTCAAATCATACTATGTCCGATAGTGAAGTTTGCTGCTTCATGATCTCGGATAGAAACTCCACCTAGAGTGACTGGCTTATAAAGAATCGTACTTAGGCTTATAGCCAAATACAGAGAGATTGACTGGCTTATAAAGAATAAATGAACTGAATCTTAAGCTTCCCTAGAGTGACTTCTGCTGTTGTGCTTCTAGATTTTTTTCATTTATTTTTCTCCTTTTTATGACTATCTTACACACCAAACCATACAAGTGATTTGATATGTTTGATATGTAGGTAGTTAAAAATCACACCTTAGTGTTGTAAATCATAAAGTGGGGGCATTAATAATACTGCATGTAAAATGTATTTGATAAACAGTTGTGTAATATGTGAATCCATTTATTGTAAGATTGATACTTTTGAATAACAGGCATCATAGACAACAATCCACAACCTCGTTCCTCATTCAATTTGAAATAATGGTTGATTTAATATTACTCCAAAGTGAAATTTAGAGTTCAAATATCGTACTTAAACTTCAGATCACATACCACACCCTCGAGGCTGTGACTGAAGCTTGCAAACTTGTGGACAGAGACAGAATCAAAGCAACCGCCAAGTGTCTCATGGCATAGCAAGTAATTCACATCTTCTGTTCTTTTGGTGGAAGAAATGCAACTGAACTATATCTGTTCTGGCCGAGAATCGAGTGCATGCCTTTGTGGCTACTGACTGACAACATTGGAGGCAGGACAAAACAGACACAGTAAACTATGAAAAATAGGTACGTTTCAAAAATTTCTCTCGGATCTCTAACAGAATCGTACCACTAAACCAAACGTATAGATTATCTGAAGTTCTATATTAAGATTATATAGAAATGACAAGATTTGATTGCCTGCATAGGCAATTTTGTCAGTCATGGTATATTGTTTTTCTAGTCCACCAATCAATAAGAATTTGCTTATTCACCCATCTGGATTTATATTTTACGACCAACTATGACAAGCAACACATATTCTATTACATTTTTCACTGGCAAGTTGAAACTTGGTACCGAAAATCTTTCAGCTAAAACTGTCAATGCATCACATCGTTCATCCTAACACATTATTAACATGGAATCTCTGATGCTGATTGTTATCCAAATAAACAAAGAAAAAAGTCAACTTGTCAACTTCCAGAGCTTCAAAAGGCTAAAATTTGGAAGTAATACCTTATGCTTGTCGCATTTAAGTACACCAATTAACAAAGTCATGTCAAGCTTGTAAGCTTCCAAATGATCAAAATGTAGGGTATTCATAGAGTTATACCAATAGACAAAAAGCTTTTTCTATGCAAATTTTATAGTTTGCTAAACTATATTATAAACAATTAAATTGATTTGGAAAAATATTTTAGGGTGTATTCTGAAGTTAAAACTTTGATTCTAACTTGTATATCTATCTCACTTTTACCACATGACATCAGTAAAAATTGGTATCACTCACTTTTTACGACAAGCTTTAAACATTATTTGTACTTTTAATATTGTTTCACAAGGGCAGGGAGCTGAAATCCATCAGCAATAGAGAAGTTTTTTGCTTCATGATCTATTGCAAAATCTTGAAGGAAGGACAATGACACAGTTGTTGATTGGCTTACAAACAAAGAACTGCAATATGCTTATATTTATATGTTGCGTTACAGACTGAACCAAGCTTAATCAAGTAACTTCTGTTAGTATCATACTAGTTTTTCTTTTTCTTTCCTGACTAGCTTAGATAAAATCCAACAGCATGTGATTAATCATATATTACATCTTAGTGTTGCAAATTACAAAATAAGATAACTAATAATGTTCCA